AGATGAGGAATGGAGACAACTTCTTCACACTGCTAACACAAATGCTAACAGGCTAAACATTAACAAATACTATGTTAGAATCAAGTATAAACCAATGAGTCGCCTGGTCGCACACATTCTCATATTACAGATAAACAATGCACCAAAATATGTTTCTGAGTGTTAGCTATGACGTTTATGTATACATACATATACGTATATATTGTACGTGCTGAACTAGTATAAATATAATGCTCACAATGCAGTTTATTTGTCCTAATTTGCCTAATTAACTGTGAATTTTAGTGAGTTCTTTAATGCCACTGTTTGCTCTCTAGATGGAAAACCCAGTTGCCTCAAATGAGAATATCCAATATTGCTGTGTCACTCATTGCAGAGCTAGAATCAATCAATGGATTGTTATGAAACTTGGTTACATCCTCAGGATGAACTGAAATAACCCAATCCTGCACCAAATGGTACCTTTGGGGAAGCTTTTCATTCTCAGTGAGCTTTGTAATTCTGTATGTGCAGAGTTTCATTAATGTCTCAACCTTTCTGAGGCTTTATTGTGTTTTACTGAACTATATTGTATTGTCAGGTGTTTCTGTCATTTATAAGAAGCATGTTAGCGCACTAGACTAAGATGATGAACGTGGTTAACATTCTACCTGCTAAACACCAACCTGTCAGCATTACTACACAATATTTCTGTCCATTACGGCGATTAAAGTGTAATTAATATTTGCTTTGGCTTTGGTCGAGAGACATGACAGACTACGTGTTGCTCATAATCAAACATCCCTCTCCATCTTTCACAACGGGAAGGAGGTGCTAGGGACCGCCATGCTGGATGATACTGGGTGTCTCGTGAGGATGGGGATGTGAAGCAAACGCTGAGATGCACACACTCCAGCACACGTTTTAAGAGCATGTGAAATGGTCTCTGCTGAAGAGGGGCTGGTTGAGATTTGGTCTCATTTCAACTGTTTTCTTTGGCATGAGGATGTAACAGGAGTGATAAGCTTTGTGCTCCTCTCCTTATGGGACTCTGGAAATAGCTCCTTTTTCTAGGAGGAAACAGCTCTGTCATCAGACTAGCTGCGTCCGTCTGTGATGCAATGACAGTCTCCAGTCTGGAAAAGGTGGGGAAACGCTGGTGAACTGGATCGTGTATTCCTTTTTTATTAACTTTGCCATCCATTCATTCATGGAAAGCAGACGTCGCCTCCTTCCCGCCATCAGATTCCAAGTTCCACTGGGAAGAGGCCAGAACCAGGAGGGGAGCTGGAGGGAGAAAAGTCAGAGGACTCTTGCCCTGCATTGCAACCCTCCGTCCAAGAGTCCAAGTTGTCCAGTGGTTCTTCAACAGTGATTATCATTATCCTCCTGAAGCACAGAAAGGACGTCCAATCGCCGCTGGTGTCACGGGCAGGCGTGCACAGTGAGGGCACGTGGCCACTGGTAGAACGTAGAATTCATGTCTTCTTACTCTAGAGTTGAAGAAAAAGATTATATACCACAAGTGGGCATAAGGGCACGAAAAAAGATCTTCATGACTGATCTGCACGCTACAATAAAGCCACTAGCAGCAGTTCTTTTGTTTCGCCATGTTTACAGTTGTGTGCAGAGCTTTCTGTGTTACTACTTGACAACATGTCTTGGAATTTGTTGTGGAAAGCAAAAAAACTCTTAATATGTTGTCAGGACGTCATGAGGCGTCCCATGTGGCATCAGTTGTGTTCCACTATGACTTACTAAACGGGCTAAAACAATCAATTGCCGCTCCTGGCGCCCTACGTCTGCCAGATGAGGCTATAATTGGACGGATATAATGTTGTCTGTTCCCTGCGTCTTGCTCATTAATTATTCCTCAAGAAACTTTTTGTGGGTTCTTGACTGAACAAAAAGAAGCTCATCAGCTCAGCTTCTGAACACACAAGTTCCTTCTTTTTGGAAATGCTTCAGTCAGCAGGAAGGAATCTGTGTCATCTAAGACTGTGGGGCTTTGTGGTGACGGTGAGCTTAACATGCTGCAGACGTGTTTGAGACAAGTTGGCATGTTATCATAATCTGCTCAGTCGGCCCCTGAGGTCAGACGGCCATCTGTGGTCCCAGACATAGAGCGCTGTGGGGACACATGAGGGAGACTGGTGAGGACTCAACCTCTATGCCAAGTGACGGGGATTAGTGATGGATGGATGGACACGTAGAAGGAAGAGAGTGAGTGAATGAACGATGACTGCAAAAGTGTGTAGAAATCACATGAATGGGTGGTTGGATGAACTAATGAATGAAAGACAGACGTAGCCACGGATGAATCAGTGAACTGTTGAGCAAATGGAGGAATGAAGAAGACTGAAAGAGAGAATTAAAGTAGATATAAAGTGAAGAGATACATTTAAAGACAAAATAAAAGTGCTCTTTACCTCCATGCGGTGACTTTCCGAGAGCAAAAGTGGAAACAGAGTGCTCTTATCTCTATTCTTTCTCAGGTCTGCCTGTGTAGGGATTGTTATCTGGTATCTGTCAATCCACTCAGGGCTACTCGAGCTCTAACTCTGTGTCTGCTTTTCATTTGACTTGTCTTTATGAGAAACTCTTAGTTAATAACGTCTCATTCAGGGGAGCTCACTTTTTCTACTGTTTCGGTTTGGGGGAGGGAGGGTGGACTGATCTGAAGTATCTTTATTAAATTCAATTCAATTCAATTCAATTCAATTTTATTTGTATAGCGCCAATTCATAACAGAAGTTATCTCAGGACACTTTCAAATAGAGCAGGTCTAGACCGAACTCTTATAACATTAATACAGAGACCCACAGTACCACCATGAGCAAGACCTGAGACAAGGGCAAGGAAAAACTGCCTGTTAAAGCAGAAACCAGGACAGATCCGGCTCTAGGTGGGTGGTCGTCTGTCTCGACCAGTTGGGGGAGAGAGAGAAGAGAGAGGAGGAGAGAGAGAGAGAGAGAGGCAGAGAGAGAAGCGAGAGACAGACAACAGGTGCACAGCAACAACAGTATTGGCAATGGCAATCAGCAGGACCATGGCAGGAGGCTCCACCAGGATCGACAAGAACCTGCGAACGAAGCACAAGAACTCCGGGGAAGAAGAAGTTAGTAACATGCATTAATGGGACATGAATAGTGCAGAAAGAGAGAGGAAGGGAGGAGCTCAGTGCACCATGGGAAATCGATAGTCTAGGCCTATAGCAGCATAACTAAGGGATGGTTCAGGACCCGATCCAGCCTAACTATAAGCTTTATCAAGAGGAATGTCTTAAGCCTACTCTGAATGTGGTGAGGGTGTCTGCCTCCGAACCAAACGGCTGGTTCCACAGGAGAGGAGCTTGGTAACTGAAGGCTCTGGCTCCTGTTCTACTTTAGAACTATAGGAACCACAAGTAGCCAGCATTCAGAGAACGTAGTGTTCTAGAGGGGTAATAGGGTACTATGAGCTCTTAAGATATGAAGGGGCCGACCATGAAGAGCTTTATAGGTGAGGAGGAGGATTTTAAATTATATTCTACATTTTACAGGGAGCCAATGCAGAGAAGCTAGTACAGGAGAGATGTGATCTCTTTTCTTAAAGTGAATTAGTGATGAATCACCCTCATGCACAGATCCTACATCAATAGTAGTCCAAGTTAACGCATAATGTATGACAATGAAGATACAAAAAAATTAGAAATGCAAGGCATATAGCGTATTGTCAGGATTTTATGAATTGTGTTTTCAGGGGAGTTCATGTCTTTATTAAGGCTGAGCTGCACCTCTGGCGGAAAATAATGTTGTGGCTACATAAACATGAGTTAGATTAAATTAACGCCATATCATCCAAACTTTTATTACTGTTTGACTAGTTTGCATCACGTCACAGAATATTTCCTTATATCTTACTATCACACGAACCAATCTTAGCTAGCAGATGTTGTGTCAGGGTTTTTTTTTCTGTGTCCGGCGGAAACATGTAAAACATCAAAAAGTAATAAAAATGTGAATGCTTTACTTTCTATAACAAGCAATTTAGTTTAAAATATATTTACTGAGCCACAGACAATTATACATACAGTAGGATTAATCAGTGCTCATCCATGTAAAGTAATTATAAAAATATGTTAATTTATATTCCTAGACATAAGAGAGTAAATAAAAGCTTGTATTTGAGAATGAAAAAGTATCAAACACAAGCGCTGAAGAAAAAATAAATCATTTGTTTAAATAAAAAATAAAGGATAAAATAAATGTACATATATAAAATGAAGTCTTAAATCTACTTATAATGATCATATTTTACTTGATTCCGGTACGTAGTGAATCAGGTTTCAGGTTAGAGCAACTTAATAAAAGAATTAAATAATAATCACTTACATCTGCTCGCAACCACATGATAATGTGTTATAAACCATTTATTAAATGTTTATGTTTGTATGTTTACTACAGTCATTCATGCTGCTTTTGTGGTTTTTCTTTTTATAATCGCAATAAAACAAAAATACAAAACACTGAAAAATATGTTTTGTCACAATTAATGAACCAAACAACTGAAGGAATGAATGAGAATAAAGTTAAATATGTTATTTATATTCAAATGTACAGCTTTTTCCTATTTATTAATCCATTGATTCATGTTATGGGAAGAATTTAAGGTTGATAAGGTCGAACATTGTCAATAATCTGTAGTCTTTCCCTTATTTCCCATCCTCCAGGCTACTTAATATGTGTTTTATCTGAGTTGTTTTGCTTCATTTGTTCTCATTCCCACCATGTATTTCCTGTTGTAGATGTTTTTGATTCATTTGTGTTCATTTTCTTTACCCTGATGAATCCATGAAACTCTTCTGATAATCTAATTTCCTCAAGCAGATCAATAAAATTTCATTTCAGGCTTCTACCAGAACATTTTTTTTTATGTAATAAGGTGCAGTGCGATACGGCAACATGATCCTCAGTGTTCCCTCTCTCTCTCTCTCTCTCTCTCTCTCTCTCTCTCTCTCTCTCTCTCTCTCTCTCCTGCAGCTCTTCTGGCCAGCTGTGATGCCTTCAGACTGGGTTCATCCCAGCGGGTCATACCCCTCGGTCCTCCGGTGGCCCGTCTGTTCCAGGGTGAGGCCCCAGCGCAGCCACACTTCATCCAGGAATTAATCAGAACCAAACGCCACTCAGTCCAAGAGTTAGTGCGAGCCCAACCTCATTTGGTTCATGACATGGGCTGGCCAGAGATACACGAAACATCCCGTTCCCAGGCCAAGATGGACTCTGCCAACTCCTCTCAGTTAAACCCACCGTCGTCCGTCAGCCAGGATATAGCCAGGCCCCGCGCTGCTGTGCATGAAAACCTAGATGTGGAAGACGAGATGGAGGTGAGGATGAGTTGAAGGTGGTGCTGTGGGTAAACGCCTGCATCTGTATGAGTCTAAGTGGGAGCTTTAATAATTAAGAATCTTAAGAGATGTGACCAAGCAGAGGGAAATTAAAACCACTTAAAGGTCCAGTGTGTAACGTTACAGTAACAGGATCTATTGGCAGAAATATAGTATTCATATGTTTTCATTAGTGTTCAATCAGCTGAAAATAAGAATTGTTGTGTGTTTCTACAGTAGAAACAAATCAAACACTGGCTCTAGATAGGATATTTTGCATTAATTGCAGGTTTTGCAGCCACCGTAGTTTCTCCTTTGAGCTTGGTATTCAGTCGGTTGCAATGTCTGCCACTAAATCCTACACACTGGTCCTTTAAGGATAAATCAGTGGTTTCTAACAAGATTAATATGGCTATTTTTTGCGTATATAACTCTTGCTTGTGCGGTCACCACGTCGGTGAATGAGGAATGTGAAGGACAAAAGTGATGAGATACTGTTGACCAGTTTAGGTGGTTTAAGAAACCAATGCAACACATTTACTGTCTCCATGTCTTGTGAAAACCAAAGATATTTTATGTGTGTTAAGGTGCCAATTGGTATTTCAGTAGCATTTAATTTCTTCTCTGCACTTAATTTATGTAACATTAATTGGAGCAGGAAAGGACTGCGGTCACATTCACTCTTTAAACCAGAAGCAGAGATCACGTACAAAACATCAACATGAAATATTGCTGTGTCATTTTTTTAATCAACTTCGTAACAAAGTTATGCTCTTTTTGTAATTATTCATTATAGCTATTAATCAGTAAATATTAAACACGCTGCAAGGAGTTTTTAACTGGTTGTGTAACAGTCTCAGTTTAATACAGATGCCTCTATATGACCTACAGAAACAAACAAGACTGTCAGAGAGAAGATTGGATATTTCTATATAGTTACTTCTAATGTCGGATTCGGACAGATTCCCCTTGAAATCAATGAAAAAAGCAGCAGAAACACTTTTGTCCACAGGGGTTGACAGAATCAATACAAAATGAAGGTTCCTTGTAGGTGCTTTAATTACACTCCACGTTTGAGCTATGAGCATTTTTGGAGCGGTGCAGGAGAGTAAAATATTTAGTTCTGAATCAGTAATAACAATATGGTTTATTTATGGTAATTTGCTGGTTATCAATCTGACCAAATATCTTTCAACTTCCAGCGTATGGTTCATCTAGCGGTTCCCCAGGATGCAGACTCCACTGACCCAGAGAAGGAGCTCCTCGGTGGGCCAGGAGCTGGCGACGCCTCCCTGGAGGCCTCTGGCTTCTATGGAACGGACATGGAGGACAGAGAGAGAGGAGAGGAGGGAGGAGAGGACCGAGAGAGAAGAGGAGGAGAGGACGAGTGGGAGAGAGACACAGGGGAGGATAGAGAGAGGAGAGGGGGAGACGCCGGTGGAGAGGAGGAAGAGAGAGGAGGAGGAGGAACAGACGATCAAGATGTCCATGTACTGGATGCATTAGAGGCTAACCACACAACCCCAGATCTGGACGCTCTGATTGGTTAGCAGGAATTATTTTCCCTACAGAACCAAATCAATAAAGGCCGTTGACGTCACACAACACACCCGCAGGCAGCACTTTGTAACCTCAGCTCTCTGCACACTACTCCAGCTTTTGGTCACATATGCAAACTTTAGGGGAAAAGCTGTTTTCCAGGTTGCATCTTCGAAGGCATCTTTCAGTTCGGATGTCTGCCGTCTGCCCGAAGTGAAAACATGTTTGCCCAGAACAAAACAAAAAGTTTGAATCCAACATTTCTACAGACTGTGCTGCTCGACACTCTTCTTATTTGCTAGTCAAACATTGCATCTGCTGCGTTAGCTGTGGCAGGCAGTGGAAGTGGCCGGCTCAGTCTGGAGATATTGGGTTTAAACATTAATTTTACCTCAGGCAAACATTGACAGGGAGCTGACTCACGTCTGTGCAATCTGCTGCTGGTTAAAGATCCAGTGTGTAACATTTAGGAGGATCGATTGGCAAAAAAATTTCATAATAATAATAATTTACAGTCACCTGAAAATAAGAATCATTGTGTATTTGTCGCCTTAGAATGAGCTGTGTATATCTACAGCCTTCTATGTTGAACCGCCATGTTTCTACAGTAGTGTGACATTTTTCATGTGTTTTGCAGCCACTGTAGTTTCTCCTATACGCCTGTACGCTCGGCATCTACACCACTAGATGCCACTAAATCCCACACAAGCCTCCTCAAACAGGTAGAAAGTAATGTTTGGATATATCAACAACTTTTGGATGGATTGCCATGATATTTTTTTTTAGAAACATTCATGTTCTCTTCATGGTGAATTGTAAAAACGTTGGTGATTATCTGACTTTTCATATAGCGTCACCTTCAGTTTGTGCAATGCCATTCCCATCAGCCTCAGCTATACTTTGCATACCTGCTAAACTGCACTTACCACTGTCATCATGAATAGTGAGTAATGTAAGTGAACAGCTGTTGAAAAATGTTGTCTACGTTTCATTTGACAAGATGCAACCTGGTCTTCAGTAGAATTCAATGTGCAACATGTGCTATTTGAATAATATAATAATATCTAGATTGCGTGCTAACAGATCCAGTAAAGGCCAGTGTCAACAAAATGTAATAAAAATGGTTTAGTGGCTAAATTTGCCTTTTGTCCCATTAGCAAACAGTTTGTTCAAGTTAACTGACTACAACTTATTTTTGTTATTAAATCAACCACAGAGGTGAGAAAGTATCAGATTTTCTGGCTGTACAAATATTCAAAGCTGAATATAATCATTTCAACAAAGACATACGTTGATTCTTTTGTTAATGTTCGACAGCTACCATGTGTCAGTCTTTGATCGCTCACTGTCAAAACCTCATGGCAGCCGTAGAAAGAGGGATGGCTGCCAAGAGGTTTATTTATTTACACACAGACACAAACATGTGTTTCTGACATGTCTCTTTGTGTCTCACAGGCTACAGTCCATCTTTCCACCCCTCCAGCTCAGAGCAGCCCAGTAACTCCTCCCCAGCTGACGTGCACGAGTCTGGGCTTGAGGAGCATCGTTCATCACCGGTCCTGGAGGTGAGGACAGATTAAAGACGCCTCGGTGCTGATATATTCCTGTAAATGTCAGTCTACAATAAAAACAACCACTCCAAAACAAGTATTGACACCTAACAAAAGCTCCAGTTTGTGCCTCTGACAGGTGGATCACTGCTGTGTGCAGCATCAGAAAAGAGAAATCAGCAGCTGCAGTTGGGCTTTAATTGGATCGCAGTAAATCAGATGTAATCCAGGGCTCACCTACTGACCCTGCGCTGAACAGTTTAATAAGTCTTTAAATGCTTTATGTGATTAGTGGTGTCTCGTTGGCCTATATCTATTGGCCAAATGGGGATAACTGAGTACAAAGAACTGATGCAATCATCTGATTTATGTCTTCCTCTATCACACAGGTGGGTCCTCTGGAGAGAGAGCTGTGGGAGGCAGAGGGGGAGGAAGATAGTCATGCCAGTGGCTACGGAGTCCTTCACTCCTCAGTCACTACAACCAGTACTACATCTGCTGCTGCTTCAACCTCGACTGCTGCAGGTGGAGACGCTGTAGGAACCTCCACCCCTGAGACTGACACAGGCACAGACTTTGGGCTGCTGGGAAGTTATACAAAAGGTACATAAAATGTGTACCTGTGGTGTCAGTCGGTTCCCACTGACAGTATATAGTTAGTGGACAGAGCTTCTGGGTCTGTGAAGTGAAGTGAAGCCAACACGGTTGTCTTTGACCCGCAGGGGGCAGGTCAATGGGCTGCTATAGGAAGTCTGAGAGTACTGCACAGAAATCATCACAGTCTGATGATTCTTGTAAATAATAAACTGATATTAAGATATTAACAGTATGTCTACTGCTTGTAGAGACTAGTGTACTGAAATGAATGTAACAGCTCTGAACAGACTGAACGTACTACTGAACTGAAGTCAGAATCAGCACTGAACCGGGTCGTATTAACGGTGGATTCACTTTTTGTTGTACATACTGATGCACATTTGAACGGTGATGCCTTCACTTACAGATTTTAAAAAAAGGGAACAAACTATGCTGCTTTTGTTTTACCTCTTTGTTTGTGGCTGCAGATGAGATAGAGGATGAAGAGACAGAGAGGGAGGAGGAAGAGGAGGAAACGGGTCTGGCACACAAAGGTGTATTTACCCAGAATCCCACTGTACCAGAGGTGGGCATGGCTCCCAGCAGAGAGCCCCTGCAGCCCAGCGTGGAGGAAGAGGAGGAGCAGGGACACGAGTTAAAAGGTGAGAAAGCTCTTTAACATTAGAATAATGATTATTTCATCGCATTCACATCACGATAAATAAATGCATTATAAACTGATCATTTTTGTCTTCACTAAAGGAGTCGGACCGAACGACAGAAGTGAAGAGGAGGAGGAGGACGAATGGGGAACGGTGGAGAAAGAGGAAACAATGATCAGACACATCATCCCGCTCACCACAGATCCCTCCACCACCGTCAGCTTCACCGACGCCTCCTGGGATTGGCTGGAAAAGACAACGCCCCTGTCGGCCCAGAGGTCACAGGTCCGGGGAGGTGGGGTCACAGAGGTCTTCTTACCGGATGGTGACTTCGATGAGCTTGAGGAGGCGCAGCAGGTACATTTACACACTCACATATATGCACAGACACAGGACGGGTCTTAAATCTAAGGCTTTCTGTGTTGAGTGTTTTAACCCGAATCAACGCTGACTCTTTCAGGTAGTGTGTGTGGACTGGAGCGAGCTCGCTGGACGAGGCTACGTCATCCTCAACATGACGCAAAACTTGAACTGCGTGAGTACAAGGATGCAATATTCCAATTAAAAGTGCTGCATTTAACATTTAACATGACTGAGTTCCTACGAGACGAATTTGTGACATTAATGTGATTTATGTGTCCTGTTCGTGGATCATAAAGTTGTGATGTAAACGCACTTCAAGAATCAATGAAATTAGTGGAACAAGATAATTTTTTACAGCTACAGTGATTAAATGAGAGCTTGTAGCAACTGTTAGAGCTGTTGATGAATTTATTTTATGGCCTGGCTGTGGAAAAATACTCATTTCTGATTTGGGGACAGATCAGATTCCAGCCGAAGCCTGACAACAATCATCCTTAATGTCTCCGAGGAGATAAAGTGTGCAGCATTATGCCACATTTGAACATGCTGAGGTTGTAAGCACACCTCTTCCTCTTCCTCTTCCTCTGGTGATGTCTTCTTGTCCATTTAATCTCATCAACAATACGACATCCTGCTTTTGAATGCCATTGTGAAGGTCTTTGAGTACAGGAGCAGCCAGACTATTCTCCCACGCCGTCAGAGCCACAACAAAAGGTTCAGCTTGAGTTTTACAGACAGATCGAACTGCTGGAGGCCATCTGCATTTGTGTGTGTGAGCGGTGAGGGAGGAGGGACCTTCACCATGGCGCCTGTCGCCATGGCAGCAGCAGAAACCCTCACCGCCACCGCAGTGACCTCTTTGTATCTGAGAATTCCTATTTTCTCATTTGTGGCTTCATCAGCTGTGTCTGAGAGAGAGAGAGAGAGAGAGAGAGAGAGAGAGAGAGAGAGAAATAAAAAACTTTTTCACATCTGCAGGGAAATCAAGTATTAACTTGTAGAAAAATGTGTGTGTGTGTGTGTGTGACAGGAGGAGTTTCGTGTAGACCAGGGCGTACGGTTGTTGAGGATCATGGAGCGAGTGTTTGCTCGAAGAATGAACAGCCCTGAGGGATCATGGGTACTCTACCTCAGCAAGCCTACACACCAGCAACACCAGCTGCTGATGAACGTGGCATCTGAGCATGGTACACACACACGCACACACAAAACACACACACACACATTTTCTCTTCAGGATTTATAGAAAGAAATATATCATAAATACATCTTTCTCATTAAATAGGACACATTAGGGCATTATAATGACTTTTTAGGGACAATTTTATGGAAATAAAAAGGATTTTTTAACCTGAAGAATGTATTAGGCTCTACCTTTCAGTCCTGAGTAGTCCCTGCAGGTTTGGGCAGCCTGTAAGTAGCCTAAAGGGCGAAACCCAGGGCACATAAAGTCTGCTAAACACTCGACGCACTCACTCGCTGCAGCTTGTTACTCCTCTGAGAGCACAGTAACAACTGGAGGCCACTCAGACAAGTATAATAAACATTTTCTATCCACTTCGACCTTCTCTTAACTGGACTGTGGTGGAAGGATGAACAGTGTTCAGACAGAGTTCAGTTATAAAATCCACCTGAAACAGTCGAACAATGAGGGAAATTCATCTTTTATTGCACAACACGAGGTTGTATAATGTTTGACCGCCTCCTCTGGTCCTGCAGCAGAACGCGGTCCGTCGGTCGAGCGGGACATCGAGGGATGTTAATATGGAGCAGGTCTCTGAAGATGCACAACCGTCTCTGAGTTCCCTCGGTCCCATTTCGTCCAGACCGGACATTAGCCAGGAGCAATAAAAGTTAATGAGACAAAATAGTGATTTTAAAAAGTTGTGGGCGATAATTTCCCAGGTGGAAATGATGCCCTTGCTTAAACCTTCCTATAAATCCCAAACCTTAATGCTCACTTTAACCTTGACTTGACCATCAAACATTTGGTTAGAGTCATAACAGCAGCTACGTGTTGGAGCAGTTTCCTTATTTCTTTGGTTAAAATAGACGGAAATAAATGGTTTCATGTCACATGCAGTTATTTTCAGTTTGATATCAGGAAATCCTTCAGAAGAATCAGCAGCAAATGTCAAACAAGACCTGAAGGAATCTTTCATATAAGACGTTCATGCAGATGCAGACCGGCTCAGACATGAAGAAATAGTTGTTCTGGTGCTTTGAGAGCTTCTTAGCATTCACATCCACACATTCACACACTCATAAATACACACACACACACACACACACACACACACAAGACTGTGTTAACATTGTTCCGTGTGTGGTGTCTTCCAGGAGTTATAGGTACCAAGGAAGTGCTGGGAATGCTGGGAGAGATCAGGAAAAGTTTGAATAAGGTAAACTGACCAATAACTTAACATTTACATTTATTATGGAGCATTGATTACATATATATCTATCTATATATATATATATATGTATGATAGATATATATGTATATATACTATATCTATATAAGATATATATATATGTATCCAGATGTGGGTGATATTTAAATGTTTCTGCTCACTGTGATACCTTCCTGTTCATGCCTGAAGCAACTTTCATTGAAGACAAACAGCTTCCTTCCTTTGTTTGGATTATTGTTAGAAAGCTGAGCAAAAATGTGTATAAAGATCAGGATTTGCTATGTTGGTGCTATGACTTCCAAGTCACTGATACACAGGTAATTGACGTGTGTATCATCTGTTTAATTAAATCTGGAAAACTGAAAAAGAATTCAGAATTCCTTTTGTTTTTCGTTTTTTCTAGGCATCAAAAAAATAAAATAACTGTTGCAGTGGTTAATCAATGAAACAGGAAAAACAAAAAGCACGTCTTACCATTACATAATGTTTCTGAACTGATTTTTAAAAACTTTCTGGGGGGGTTTGTATATCTCAAATATGAGCTTTTATCTGTATGTAAAAGTCCATAATTAGATTATGAGTTATAATAATCATTTTGATGAAGTACTTAGCAAATATAATACTGTATACATTAAAATACACAAACTTTAAATGTTTTCTGTGATAAAAGATGTGTGTGTTCACATCCAGTTCAAACTACTGTGTGTGTGTGTGTGTGTGTGTGTGTGTGTGTGTGCTTCATCAGATTGGCATCCAGAACTACAGCGCGGCCGGCAGTTGCCAGTCTCGGCCCAGTCAAACCCGCAGCGACTACGGCAAGCTGTTTGTGGTCCTGGTGATCATCGGCTCCGTCTGCATGGTCATCATCACGTCTGGATTCATATACATCTGCTGGCAAAGACGACTGCCTGCGACTAAGACACAGGTAAACACACACAAACACACACACACACACACACACACACACACACACACACACACACACACACACACACACAGACATCTGTTATGTAACAGAAGATGCACTCGTGTGCAGGTGTGCACTAAAACAGACGCACCTGTAATACTTCGCAGTTTCACGCTGAGGAACTTCACTTTGTGGAAAACGGTTGCCACGACAACCCGATGCTGGATGTGGCCAACGACAGCCAGCCGGAGATGCAGGAGAAGAAGCCGAGCACCAATGGGCTCGCGGGGGGAGGAGAAGGAGGCGGGGAGGACAGCAATCGCTGGCAGGTGATCAGAGGAGTGAGGGGATGAAGCAGCCGTACGAGGGGGTTGAAAGGTTTAGTGGTGAACAGTCTGTAACTTTATTCTGCCCGGCAACAGCCGTGAAAACTCTCGTCCTTTCTTTTTCAGGTGTTTGTCAATCAAGCGGCGACTGAGGAGGAAGAAGAGGAGCAAGACACGCATCTCTGATGGAGGAAGAGGAAGAGGAGACAGGATATATGAAGGATGGACAGAGGATAAAGTGGAGATAAATGAGAAGAATACAAATAAAAAAAAGGGGAGAAAAGAAAAAGGAAAGGAAGTAGTTGATGGAAGTTAAAGGGTATAAAGAGTAATAGATGTCCAGTCAGAGTTAAGCTAGGATGGAGGCGAGGAGGAGGAGTCACTGACACCTTCATGGATGTTAGACACCGGGGTATATGTCAGCTTCAAATCTGAACTCATGGAAAGACAATGAACTTGCCAATCGTTTAATATAATCTCTACTTGATGTTGGATAATGTCACCATTACATAAAAACACATCTGTTTTAGTGTGCCTTATGCTTCTTTTACACTGCGGCTGCACGAGAGAAATAAAACACAAAAGCACCTTTTTCCACCTTCAACGTTTGAATGTAAAACAACTTTTAAAGTTTCCAACAGCCGCAGCATCAGGAAGGGTTTCATTTCACATTAAGTCAAATTCTTCGACAAAATGGCCCCAACTGGAAGTTTACCCGGGTTATAATATCAAGGAGACATTGTTTATTAATGGTGGAATATAACTTAGTACATTTACTCAAGTATTATACTTTATACTCCACTACATTTACCTGAAAGCTGTCTGTACAAATGAGTGTATATGTACATAAAAACACAAAATGATACAAAGATTATAGATTAAAACTACACAACAGTATATAAAGTAGTTCAAATCAGCTCGATTTACATCCACAGTGCGGCAGTAAAATGCTATTACACATTAATAATCCTTCATTTGCATAACAAGTACTTTTACTTTTGATACTTTAAGTACATTTTCTACTAATATCACTCTACTTTTGCTTAAGTAATATTTTGAATGTAACATTTTTGAGTGTTTTTACACTCCCCACACAGTCAATTAAACATTAAAACTCGTCAGTAAACACCAAATATCGCCGACAGCAGCAAGTAATTCATACGGCCTGATTAAGAATATCCAGTTTGAGTGATGATCAGTGGATTTACCCCGATGTCTGACTCTTCTCCCGAGACAACAGTGACTCCTCTTAGATACTCCTCCAAATCACTGAACAGGAAGAATAGCCTGAAGCGACTTTGAAAGTAAGGTTTTGGCACTTTATTGATTCCTCTTGGAAATAGTGACTATCATCATTGAAATGCTGCATCATGTTAAATGTATTACATACAGTGACTGAAATATCTCTATTTTGCTCCTAGGAATGGTTGTAACCGCTGAGGATGTTTACTTTACACTCTAGAACCAAGTCATGTGATTGCTATACTTACGTCCTGTTAGCCTAATTATGCTTTTTTTAAAATAGTGTTGGAATGGCTGCTGTATCCTCCCGGCTAAATCTTGAGGCTATGACACATGGGCAACATTTTAGAGGCCAAAAGCACGAACGAATAGCAAAGTTACACAGTGAACCAAAAAAAAAAAAAAAACTAAAAGAGGTCCAAGTCGAGCCCCAAGTCTTCAGTGTTTTAATGTTAAATGTTTGAGTCACCAAGGACATGACATGAATAGCTACGGTCACGTTCGAGTCACAAGTCAAGTCAACAAAGTCACATCAGAGTCACAAAGGACATTCAAGTCTGCACAGTCGAGTCTAAAGCACTATAACGAGTGACTACGATTACGTCCAAGTCATTTGTGAATCAGTACAGTCATGCCCAAGTCAGTCGGTCGTGTCTGAATCAATACAGGGTTGTCCGAGTCACTGCGATCATGTCCGAGTCACTGCGATCATGTCCGAGTTACTGCAGGCATGTGCGAGTCACTATGGTCATGTCTGAATCACTGTGGTCATGTTTGAGTCATTACAGTCATGTCCAAGGCTGCATTCGTGTCCCAGTCACTAAGATCATGTCTGAATTAATATAGTCGTGTCAGAGTCATTGTGGTCATGTCCAAGTCAGTGGGACCACATCCGAGTTACTTCAGCCATCCCACAGTCATGTCCAAGTTACTAATTGCCATGTCCAAAGTTACATTCGTTCCCTAGTCACTATGGTCATGTCTGAATCTCAATGGTCATGTCCAAGTCAGTACGTTAATGTCTGAGTCAGTATGGTCATGTGTGAGTTACTTCAGCCATCCCACAGTCCAAGTTACGTCAAGTCATGTCGAGTTTCTGCAGACACGTGCGAGTTACTACGGTCATGTCAAAGTCATTAAGGTTGTGTACAAGTCACTATGATAACACAACTGATCATGTCCAAGTCACTAAGAGTCATCAGAGTCACAGTGATCATGACTGACTAACCAACATTTAAGACGAAGTTAAGTTGTCAAAAATGGGACTTGTTGGCCCTAATGGACTCGGAGAGTTGAGGCTATTTACGATAATATTAAACACATCTGATGGACAGAAATAATTTGAAATATTTTTGTAAGACGTGCCAGCTGACTAAAGTCACTATTGAGTTAACTGGAATGGAGATAGGCAGCTGCTAGCAGTGATGTTTAAAGGTTGTTTTATTGTGTTTGTTTACTTTTATTCAGATGGTTTTTTTATGATCATTTTGTTCCTGCAGTTGTCAATCTCCATTCCTGTTACAGGTCGTATTGCCCATCTGCATTTCATCAAGATGTTGCCCGTGCTTCAGCTCTTTTACTCTGACTTTCCTCAATGTAACAATACTGTATATGGCTTCACTATAAACTACGCTGATTGATTCATGATATGCACTTTGTCAGCAGGATTTATGGAGCGTTCAGGACATGCTGGGACTGACGACTGTCCATCCTGAATACCTTCAATGACTGCAGTGTAGATTAATTGTTTCTTAGAGCACAAGACACAGTCCCCTTGTCCTCCGCTGGAAGACAGACTAGAGAAGGCAAGGCACATTTATTTAGCACATTTCATACCCAAGGGCAACCCAGAGTGCTTTACAGAGTACACAGGCAAAATCACAAAAAAGAAATTATTAAAACAATAACAGCAAGCAAGCAAAAGCACACAAAGCAATAAAACAAAGAATGAAAAGAGCATGCAGCTTTCAGCACTGCAGAGATCAACAGTATTAAACAGAAACAGACAGCCTTTGTTGCTTTTATTTGCTGAAAGACTGAATTAGAGTTTGAAGATAAATTGTGTTGCTTTTTGTTGCTTGAAATCAATTTGTTTTCACAGATTTCACAGTTTTTCTACTCAGAATCTGATGACAGCCTCGTGTATGTTTGCATTTGTAAGCAGTGCTAGTGCAAGTCAATGGGGATTCAGCTGTAGCAAAAAATAAGTGACCCTTCGTTTGTATAAAGATAACAAGCTTAGTTTCCTGGTGAGATTTTTTTAACCAGGTTTTTCAGTTTCCATTCATTCATCTCCAGGTATTTTATTTCTATTAATTTATTTTACTTACCTTTTTTTGTATGTCTATTTATATGCATTATGGTCTTGTACTGTCTCATTCTTTTGGTTGTCTGCGTAATAAGTTAAATGTGAGAAATAAAGTTTGGAGAAAATTTGGTTTCTTGTAATCATTTTTGCTTCCACAACCCTGAGTTGGATCACTGGGTCGATAAGATAAATAGACGGATTGATTTCCTGAGCTTGTGCCCATGTACCACGATTGAGTCCTCACTGCAGCAGCCGTGGGTTCGAGTCCGACCTGTGGCCCTTTGCTGGGGGTCATACCCTTTCTCTCTCCCTCTTTCCTGTCTTTCTTTAGCTCTCCTGTCAATTAAAGGCAAAATAATAATAAAATATGAAACAGAATTAATAATTGTGTATCAATGGTTTATAATTCATCTTGGCCGACGGTTTCTGTTGACTTAGTTATGTTAAAAACACGTTTTAAACAAGGTTTCCTGTCAGTTGTACAGTGACAGAGAGAAACAGAGGAGCACAGTATACTTCCTGCCCTTGTCAGAGGTTTGTGCAGATTTCATCATGATTCTTCAAAGCTTGCTGACAGGAAATTCTGTGTGGACTTAAATTTGTCTTGAATCCAGCCGGCTCTGATCAAATCTTTATGATGCAGAAACTCTGCCAGAAAGAACTAAAAGAAAACAGAAGTTATTGTCAACAAATTCTATTAAAATACCCAAATCAAGTATGTGTTACAAGAAAATAACATATAAATAAAAAGTCAAGAAACATAAATAAAAGATAGAAACATTTAAAATAATAATATTGTTGTTCATGAGACCGGCTGCAGTCGGGAAGAAACCGGGCCCTTGTTGGTCAACCACAATCTTACCTGCACGCCATCAAGGTCCTGCAGGGATGGATGACAGCAGCTGATCAGCTCCTCGGCAGAGCGAAGTATTATGCGCTGCTGTCTGCCGTTAAGTCTGTCCTTAAGAGGCAGCAGTGTACCAGATGGTGATGGACTCAGTGACTGCAGTGTAGGAATGCACCATCACTGCCACAGAAAGAGATCAGTTCCCTCTGCTGGGTGAGGAAACTGATATCCAGCTCCACTCCAGGTCCTGGGTGATGATGGTGTCGATGTCGATGACGACCATCTCCACTGTCTATAGAGTTGTTCTGACTGCACCAGGTCACCAGAGATGAGCCCAATTAGAGTCATCCATAGACTTAAGGAGCTTGATGGACTGATGTCTGGAGGTGCAGCTGTTGGTGTACAGCGAGAAGGACGCAGCCTGGAGTTGAATTGAGTTGCTGGTGGAGTCAGGCAGACTCAGCTGAAGGTGTTAAAGGCAGAGCTAAAGTCAGCAAACAGGATTCTGACAGAGGTTCCTGAGGAGTCCAGGTGCAGGAGGATGAACTTCCTCAACTTACCTGTGGTTCTTCACCACAAGCACATTGGTTACTTCTAAAGATGTGGTTAAAAACTGGCCCTGAATATATTTTAATTTCATCATTTCCTCAAAATTCTGGACAGTTTAGTTTGAGAATTAGTTACTGAAACCGGAGTAAAGAGAGAGAAAGAGAGAGTGAGTCAATATAACAATTCAGAAACAAGACCCGTTAAATGTATTCAGGCAGGTTCACCCCTAGTCTGTTTGACCCCTCCACTTTCTAACTGGACCCAGACTGTCCTCATGTGAGGCCCGAAACTTCTGGTCAAAGAATGGGAAGCCTCCTCTGCACCAGCACTATCTCTGAGGCACACCTGTCTCGGTCAGCTGGCTGCTCTTTATTGTGCAATAGGTTGCATTTAACTAGAAAACAGGACTACCTATAGTAAAGCTCTCTGTGCATCACTGTCTTTTTTATTTTGTTTTTATTTTATAAAATGTATTTTGAGTTTAATTTTTGTCTATGTCTTCCTTTCATTCTGTTTTATTGTATTTGTACTTGCTTCATTTTTCTGATGGATATGTCTTGCATGTTTTAAATTCTCTGAACAACCAATAAAGTGTTAATCATAAAATAATAATAATAATAATAATAATAATAATAATATTCAGGCAGATCACAGGCGTCCAAAACCTCTTTGCAGCAGGGGTCCGTTGAGCTACCGCTAACGCTCGTTAGCTCGTCCGTTAGCTCCGTACGCAGTCGGTTGTCGGGACAGACGGTGTCGGTGTCGGTGTCGGTCGGTGGTCGGTCGGTCTGTGCTGAGAATGAGCCCCAAACATGTCAGGTTGGTTGAGCTCTGTTTGTACGCAGTCCCGAGGACGCAGAAACAGCCTCGCTCTGAGAAACTGCGGCTTTATTCGCGCCAATGAAACAAATTCAATCCTCAGTCTTTTGTTTTTTACAAGCTAACCTAAGCTAGGTGGCTAGTTAGCTTGTAAAGTATGTTCCAGCCTGGAGCTTTACAGTGAGGAGCTTTACAGTGAGCTTTACAGTGACTTTACTTATAGCTTTACTCCCATGCCTCCACTCTAAGGTGAAATATGTTGTCGGACACTTTGAATGAGCTCTTTGATTCAGTTTAAGATCTACTTTTAGACGCTGCTTGCTAACGTTACCGCCCACTGCCATTGCTTCCTCTACGTGACCATTTTGTTAAAATTACCCCACAAAAAATAAAGTTTGGTGTTCTTGCAGTATGCCGAAATAATGACTACCTCTACAGGGCTCTACATTCAGTGAAAGCGATGTCTCTGGGTGCATTTGGTTTCCACTTCCAGGCCTGAAGATATTAAATTAGTAGTTTTTTAAATGGAGTTTGGTTTTGCGCTTGTTGTCTGCACACTGGAGAACAGGGCTTAAATTCCCTGTTAGTCAGTGACCTTAACCTACCTAAACAAACAACTACACCCTAACTAACCCGTCTTCTTGTTAAAACCAGCTTTAATGTAAACGAACTGCACGTTTTAACTCCAGTTTAGTGTTTCTTTGTGTCTCATTCAGTAAAGTCAATAATGTGTGCCCTCTTTTATAAGGAAAGTTAACTCTGTAAATAGTTAACTAAAAGTGTTTTTAAAAGTCATTATCATGGGCCGGGCCCTCTCATTAGTCACAGCCCTGTTATTGTGTGAGAGAGAAAGGCCTTCACTCATTCGTCTGTAATGTTACACATCTGAAATCTTATCCTGTTAATGGAAGAGTCTATAAATATACCACTTCAGACCTTTTTGACCTGTTTACTCTACAGAGAATATATATTACAGAGTTTAATATATATTACAGAGTTTAATATCCACACATGTGAGGTCTCTTCCACATCTGCAGTAATGAAATATCTTAATTATAGTATTAATGCAAATTTAGCATCAAAGTTATGTGAGTGATGGTTGTAAAAGATTGGGTTTAAATGGACTTTTTGATGCTGTGAGGTATTGTGTAAGGTTGTTTATTCATTTAAATATATCTTGCTATAGTGATACAGGTGCAACTAACAATAATTAGTATTAATTGGTTAATCTAGGGATTGTTTTCTCAATTATTTATCAGAAAATGGTAAAAAAAAAAAGCCAAATTTAACTTTATATGTCCAAAATGTGGGTCTTGTTTTGCTTAAAAATGACTTGAATGATTATCAATAATATATAATATCTTTCTTTATATATGACTTATCAGAAAGTTACAGAGTGCGTCACATAAAGAAGTGAACAACACACAAAACATCTAAGAAACACAGCAATAAAAGAATCAAACAAACCAAATAAAAACAAAACCCCCGAACAGAAACAATAAAGGTACGTTTGAAAGAAGTCACTGACTCATTCTGTCATGTTTCCTCAAGGAGGTTGTTCCAGTTACTGATTAATCTTCTGACTATCGATAAAGATCAATTAATCAAATGATTGTTTAAGCTCTGTTGCATGGGAACAGGATTGTATGGATTAAGTAGCTCTAAAAGAGATGGATTAGTGTTAGTTATGAGGATTTTCACTGTTTTCTGTTTTCAAATAGACCAAACAGTTAACTGATATAAAATAATAGGCAGATTAATTGATTAGTTATTGTTAATTGCAGCTTTTTGTTTAACCGAACTTTGTTTTGGATTTGAAATCTTCAGACTTTTCCCCTCTGCTGTCTCCAGGGACGACCTGACGACATCCTGTTCTTCCTCCATCATCCCAGCTGTGTCGGATAGGACGACCCTCCCACATCTTTCCATCTGCTAAGGTCTGTTCTCCCCCCTCGACCCCCCCCCTTCCAGCACCGAGTCTGCACCACATCCTCCTGGATTGAACAGTCCCAGCCAAAGCCCCTTCATAGAAACAGAGACCATGTATTGCCTACAGTGGCTCCTCCCTGTGCTGCTCATCCCCAAGCCGCTGAACCCAGCGCTGTGGTTCAACCACTCCATGTTCATGGGCTTCTACCTGCTCAGCTTCCTGCTGGAGAGGAAGCCCTGCACCATCTGTGCCTTGGTCTTCCTGGCTGCCCTCTTCCTCATCTGCTATAGTTGCTGGGGCAACTGCTTCCTCTACCACTGCCAGGACGCAGCGCTGCCGGACGCCGCCCACGACCCAGCGATTGTCGGGACCTAGGAGAGAAGAAGGGGGGAAAGTGGGGGAGGGGCACTAAGGGTGAGGAGGCATTGCTGGGGGAGTGATACTGCCATGCTGTAAGACTACACTTTGGGGGTGGGAGAGAGGTGTAGAGGCGGTGTTAAAGGACTGCTGGATGGGAGTACCGCTAATACAGAGAGTGCCAGGCCAAAGGCGGTGTTAAGGAGGAGAAGAGCCAGAGGATTATGGGGGGGTGGGGCGGGGGGGCCGATTTGCCATGCTGTACCGTAAGATAGACTTGAATTACAGGAGGGGGGAGACATTATGTGTATTTTATGTAACAGGAAGGGAAGGAGGGGAATGCTGGGAGTCGGAGATGTGTGGAGTTGGAGGAAAGAAGAATTTCAATTTTAGCAACTTTCATTCCAACATTTGAATGAAAAGATGAGACGTCAACCTAAAGTGACCACCGTGTTTCAGTATTCTGGTTCCTTTCTGGCCCTCTGGCTCGTTTAGAGAGACGCCACTTTCTCCCCCAAAAAAACCCCCCGTTCGATTATCTTTTCAGAACGAAGACACTCTCCACCTCAAACTGCCAAAATTCCCGCGACCGCCACCGAGAGCTGGACGCAGAGCAGCCGCGCTTGCTTCTCTCCTCGACCGCCGCAGTTGTTGACGAACTTTGTACGCCGCGTAGTGTTAAAAGAGGGAAGGCATCTTGATATGTTTGTCCCCCCGCTCACCTGGAGAAAGGAGGAGAAACGTTACCGCTCACAGTCCAACCTGACGACACCCCCCCCCCGTTGGCTCCGTACACCGGCACTGGACAATCAATAACTTACGCTGTGAATAACTCCTCCTTCACCGCAGCGCCACACACAAACACACCCTCCCTCCAGAAGGTGTAATAATGCTGAGAAACTGTCCCGTTATTACCCCACTGTGCTCTGCAGCTGCCCCCCTCTCCTCGTCTTCCTCGGCGTGAACGTCCCCCCACCGCCGGACCCAACATGGGAACTTTTTTTGTTTCTTTTTCTTGCTGTTTTGTTTGTTTTTCTTGTGCATGGGTTGCCGTTTTTTCAAGTTCAGACACACATTTTAATTCATTAAAACAAAATGCTGAAAGTTTCCAAAGGGTAGAATAATCTGGATGTATGTGTGTGTGTGTGTGTGTGTGTGAGTGTGAGTGTGTGAGAACATTTTTGTGTTAGGTGCGATAGGTGTGTATTTCTTTGTGATCATGACATGCTGATGAGCGTAAATATGTGGAGATACACAAGGTAACGTAACAGTAGATGGTCAAATGGTGTCAAATCTCCACTGACAATACGTTTGTTAATCAGAAAGTTCCCTTGTGTATCGCTGCTGTAAGTGTTATTTTTAGCTGTCAGACACAGGCTAAGGTGTTTATACTGTGTACCTATATGTGTGTGTGGGTGTGTGTGTGTGTGTGTGTGGCTCCTGTCGCAGTGTTCAACATGCTCACTGCTACATTATTGCTTTGGTTTTAATTTAAATAAAGTTTTTCCTCTCAACGTGTTCAAACTGTGTAGCTCTGTGTTTCTATCGAGCGTATAAAAAGGTATTCTGAAGATTATTGGGATTAGAAAGTGAGAGTTTTGTCTTATTGTTTAGGGTTAATTGGCAGAAATGTTATATATTATTAATAGTTTTCATGTTTAATCACCTGAAAAAACAACTTTTTGAGTGTTTTTGAGATTAATATTTTAACCAGGATCTCAGGACAGGCAGAAACACCGACCTCTGTGACGTCTCCGTGTCTTCATGTTTTCTTTTTGGAGCCCTAACGCCGGGAATGTGTCTCATTATCGTCTCTGATAAGATGTAATGAAGGGTTGTGTTTCGTTACCTCAGGTTAGAAAAACACAACGATTCCTTTATAGAATATTATATTCCATTTCTGCCAGCAGATCCTCCTAAATGTCACACTGGAGCTTTTTAAAGGAGTATAAATGGTATCAGGATATCAGCAGCAGGAGTAAAACAGGTTAAACAAACAGTAGGAAACTGGAGCTGGGTGTGAGTGTCAGACGATGATGCAACTGAAGAGCAAGCCGAGCCAAGAACCTGCTCCCGTTTCCCCACAGAGTTTCACGTCGTCGTTCGCCTCCTAATTGATATTTCTCATCCTCCTGGAACAGCTGAGAAAGTCCCCGGAGTTTATAAAACACGAGTGAATCATTTATTGAAACTACGGCTCAACATCGGCGTTAACTCGCAGCCGAGACAAACTCTTTCAGTTTTATTTATAAAATCTAAACTTAATCTAATCAGTTCCACCACAATATTGTTATATTATAAGCCTTAAAGTTTTATTAGTTCATTGATTCCCAGATGCTCCAATCATTTAATCCTTTTTATTTACTGTATTTTAAATGTATCTGGGCTGCCTTTGAATTGTGACTCTTTAACTTCTGTAACTGGATAAAAATGTTTGTTTCTAGAAGAGGATTTAATCTTTGATGAACAAATATGTAGAAATAAAATAAAGAAGGCTACAACGTGCTATCTCCAGTTGAAATGAGAAAATCTTACTGATTTTTTTTAGATGTATCTTCACTCCATGATGCAAATATATTTTAACATTTATTATAGTCTGTTTCCAATGAATCCGAGCACTGAGTCCTTTTAATGCTCGCAGAAGAGAAACACTTCCTTTCTTTTAAAGTATTAAATGCAAAATAAAGTCTCAATAACACACATTTCTGTAAGCAATATACATCCAGTTACAATAATATACAATTGTTAAAACCACAGTTTGATGCATAAGTGGGACAAAATGATGAGCCGTGAGGCCTAAATGAGGTGTGTCACTTTGAACAGGGTCTTCATCTGCCTGCGGAGAACGCTTTGACTCAACCTGCTCTCTAAAAAATGGTAATTATGGACAAACAACAAACACATGCACGCTCTTTAGGAGGAGGTGGTCACAGGCAACGAGTGTTTGTAGTCATGTGAATTCCTTGCAGGTGATAAACTTGTAAAACCTGCAGGAAACAAAGGGAATCATTCAGTAACTGCTGGACGGGGTCGCTGTGGGATTCAGTACATTCCTGTTCCTGCTGAATTTAGTGATCCTCTGACACACAGCATGTTAGTGTGCTGATTTTAGCATTTAGCTCCAAGAACTGCTGTGACTAAAGAGCCTTTCCCGAGAAGCTTAGTCTGCTCTGATTGGTCAGCTCCCATAACCTCTGAGCGGGGAACGACCATCGTATAGATTCACTGGGTTTCAGTGGGCGGGACTGGACCGTCACCTCGCCCAGTGGTTCCCAGGACCACCACTAGTGCGAAACCATCACAGGGGATCGCGAGGCCTTCTTGATTTTAAAGGGGTGTACGGAAACTTTTAAAATATACACAGTGGGACTTTATCTCAGCATTTAGTTAATTTCTGTGAAGAAAAATAAATGAAAATGTTATTTTTAAAGTTTAGTTTATTATTTAAGATCTAAACTTTGAAGACCTGCCTGAACATAAGCCACATTCAAAGTCTTTACTCTCTGGTAAACAGCCTCATCCTGCATTAGAGCTAATAAAACAACGGGCAAGCGTTTGTCAAAGAAGTAGCTTATTAAGTCTTTATGATTGTTTAAAGAAACATTGTTTACTGCAGTTATTGTGTTCACTATTCTGGTTCATTGTACAGTTTATCCATTGTTCTCTTCTGTTATTGTTATAATTTATAGATATTTCATGTCATATTCAATGCATGTCACATAATGAGGGGACGACAGTTAACTCAATGATAGAAGAGGGGTCCTTTAAGGAACAAGGTTGGGAACCACTGACCTAAAGGTGGTGCCTGTTACAATGTGATGTAATAGCATGATGGAGGAAAAGGTTGAATACAAAGGCTGAGGCGGTGCAGGAGCAGTGTTTTCTGTGGGAGACGTTTCTCCCTTTGGCGTGGACTTTTGTCACATTTCTGACCTTTTACATGCACTGAGAGAAAACCCCCAAAAAGCATAATATGGCCTCTTTAACACATCTTTTCCTTCCGTCAACAACAACAACAACAACAGCAGCTGGAAAACCACCAGCAGAACTACTGTAGTCTCAGTTGACCAAGTCAAATCTAATAAATCTAAAGATAATATGGTTAAAAATGCCTACTAACACGACTTCTGATGATCTCTTCTGATATATTACTGTGTTTATCTCCGGGACCATCTGGTCCTGCAGGAGGGGGCCAACAGTCGAGTCCAAACTCTGGTTCTTCTTTATATTCTGAACATTTTTTGGGAGCTAATCTGACTCTGCATCAGATTATTATTTTTTTTAAAAAAGAGGACCAACAGTGTCTTCCCATGCTGTTCTACATTATAACATCCCCTGTGAGATTTTAATGGTGCGGTTGAATTGATTCAAGATGTGGTTTCCAACATGAGAGCTTTGGTATGCTGAGAACGTTTAATTCCCTGCTTTATATCTGAGAATATCTTGAGAGGAATGATCAGATTTGATGATCTTCTGGTATTTCTTAAAACAAAACCTTCCCTTAACATGATGCAAGGTTTAGGGGAAAAACCCAAAACTGACTGTATAACTTTCTTTGATTTGCACATTAAGAAATATGACTAACGTCTTCTTCTCACGCCACTCGAGTGACCTTCCAGACATTCCTTAAATCATCCAGTCAGAGAGGTTGCAGGGCAGTTCAACCACAGCCAAATCTATTCTGTGGCGAGCGAAAGCATCCTCAGGTCAGGGCCCTTCCCAAACCTCAGTTCACTGAAACAGCCAGCAGGGGGCAGCACCAGCCTGCGTCTCAGTGACGATACAACACAGTGATAATGATGAAGGGCAATTTGGTAACAAGCCTTCAAAACAACAATGCATGACTCATAATGATTTACTGTGTGAACTAATGATGTATTCACTTTGAATTTATGTGATTATATTAAATATACATTTATTTACATGCTGGCTGAGTTACACAGACAAACATATTGCAAACCTCTCTCTCTCTCATGTGCTGTCCACTGGTTGTAAATACGACATGAGTAAAGGCTGTTTGGGTCGAGCAGCAACATATAGATGTTTGTTTGAGACTACCAGTAATGAACGGCTTCACATATCAACAGAAAATTAACAGGAAACTATAATCAAATAAAGCAGAAATGCCAAAGAATTTGCTTCAAGCTCGTTCAATGTGAGGATTTACAGTTTTTTTCTGTTTTATTATGACTGTAAACTGAATATCTTTGGGTTTTGGACTGTCGATTGAACAAAACGATACACTGAAGACATCACCTTGAGCTCCGGGAAACTAAAAATATATTCTTAAACAATTTTAAAACATTTTATAGATAAAACAAACGATAAACTGAGGAAATAAATGGCAGATTCACAATGAAAACCACAGTTAATTGCACTTCTGGTAACTGGATTCCAACATTAATTGATGAACTGATGACTTGATCAGATCTTTAAGTGGACATACTTTCATGGCCGCAGGATTAACATCAGCTTACGTCGCAGCTCTTTTCATGAATATTTTCACATCTAACGCTGTAAATTGAGAGTTTATTTCAACCAAAGCAGCGTCGGTGATTGTTGGAAAGACTAACAAAGATGGTTTTGGTGAGTTTTATTTAATTTCTGTCCCATTGTTTGGGTCTGAGATGCTGGTGCTTTAGTGCAACGTCCAGTGGAAAGGGAATTTCGTGTATTTAACCTTTAACTAATCACATAAACTGACAGGGACTATATTTCAAGGCAAGATTTCTTGACATATCCTGCATTAATTTATGCATTAAATCCTAATGAGTCATGCATTAGTTACTCTTTATCAAGCAGTAATTACACTGCTAATGACACACCCAGGATCACCTCCTTCAAGCTAAATCAATGCACATATGTCGCTCACATGACTACACACACTCATCAGCACATATCCTCAGCAAAGCAGCAAACTCACTGACAGAAAGAGCAGATTTAGGAGAGCAGAGTAAAACCTCTTAAATGCTGTTTGGCTGCCTGCCAGCGTTGTTTGTACTATAATCCTTTGGCGTCCCTGAATGTCACAGCTCCTGTTTGTGGAAACATTTCAGGAGCCATTTTATGTTCCTGCTACGAAGCGCCCAACAGCTCATGAAAACAAGGGACTTAAGTAGAACTCAGAGAGAAAAAGCAGCCTGCCACACGTAGATTTATGGTTCTGTGTGAGGTTCCTCTCACAGGCAGTAGGGGCACTGTTTGGGGCTGTTATTAGGGATTTATTTGGTCCCTTCAGGGTTTAATATTCACAGGATATTTTGGATTTTAGCTCATTATGCCTCTTAATTACACATTTCTGACATTATGTGGAATAATAGTAAATTTCTCCTTCATTTTCCCCAAAAAACAACAACCATGACCTGACCTGAAAATAAGTCCCAACACTGGAAAAGCAGAAATAATCTTAAAGCTTCACAAAAAAAAAATCTTAGCAGGTTAAATAACGAGGACAGAACTTCTTCATCTTTAAACAAAACTACAACTGAACAAAATAAATTCACGTTCCAAGTAAAGTCACTTCTTCTGTTTGCCACGAAGGTGCCACAAGTTTCTTCAAACAAAATCAGAAAGTACGACGCCTCATAAACTTTATCCAGCTCAGACACAAGCTTTGTTTAAATGTCGCCTCTCACTCTGACTGTCAGGATCATTGAGACTCTTCATGTCGGGGCTCATCAGAAACAAAAAGAAAAAAGAAAGAGAGCATCGGCCTGTTTTAGGCCCACATTTGTTTCCTATAGGAAGGTAATCTCAGTCTCTTGGTTCTGATAGGCCTCCTCCTCCATCTCAGTGTACAGCTGGTCCATCCTCTGGAAGGCTAGGTAGCCCTTTTTACCTGCAGAGAGAAAGTGTTATAAATACGGAGGTCCCAAAGTTTGTTAAGCTCCCGATCCGATCCAAGTCATTTCATATCCGATATAATGTGATGTGGTGCACAGCGCACACTTCAAGCACATTAAAGTAATTTAAAATCAATCCAATGTACATGCTTGACAATAGCTCTCTCCTACAGTAACACAGAGCGGAGAGGCAGACAGCGGAGAGAGCTGAAGATGGCTTCACTGTTTGTGAGTTAAAAAACAGCTGCATGACAGCTGGAGTCAAACAAAAGATCTGCTCGGGTCAATAAAGCTCAACATAGTCGATACCGATCAGTTAAAAAAATGCCTTTATCGGCCCGATACCAATCTTTGAGATCGGGTCGGAACATTTTATAAAATAAAATATAATTAAATACAAATGAATGAAGAATAATTCATGATTGTACCAAAGGAGAGGACAGTCTCTCTGGCAGCGCTGCGAAGATCTTCATCTGCTGATCTCCACAAATCTGCTATGTGGTCCACGCTCTCCGTCGCCTGGCAAACACACACACACACACACACACACACACACACACACACACACACACACACACACACACACACAGTAGACACTTTAAAATGTACCAAACAGTGCTGGAAACTGTATTTCTGTGAGTGTTGCTGTGTTTGCTGAGAGTTTGTGTAATGTGTGTTGCTCACCCTGAGGCATTTAAGAGCCAGACAGGAACCTTGTTGGATCAGAACATCAGTGCTTTTCAAACTCTCCGTGTAGTAAACTACCGCCTGGAGGAGAAGGTAATGGTGTTGTTATTTGTGCCACTGTAGGAGCTGCATCATTGCATTTATTTGACTGTGATATATATAAAGATGGACAACATGACAGCTCTCCAAAAGTGAAGCCAAAACATCTGGATCGCCCCCTGGTGGCTGACTGCAGTATAGGTCTTGTTAGACGAGCCAAACTAAAACATCTAATTACAGATCAAAAAATAACATTTTCCCAAAGATGGTTTCTGCCATTCTAGGTAGTTCTGATCACGCTGGTTCTGATAAGTTTGGTTTTTATTAATATCTGAGGCTGTAAAAAGGCTTTTTACATTATTATTGAGAGCTGAGCCCAGCATACGGTCGGGATCTCCATATTGTGGCGCCAACCCCAATCACTACTGGCTCCGAATGCGGTATATGGCAGCGGCCCTAACCCGGGATATTCTGGCTTAATCTTTGTACAGTGGGAGGAAGTGGAGTCGTCCATCTTTATATATGTTGGATTCCCCTTGAAATCAATTTGACGGGGACTGTTTGATGTACCTTGCTCCTGAAGGCCTTGCAGCCTGCGGCTCTGCACAGACAGTTGGCTGCAGCTTTGCAGACTTTGTGGTTGGAGTCGATCTGCAGGGCGGCCAGAGTCCGCAGGGTGCATCCCAGTGGGAGGAGCTCCGTGATGCACCGCCCCCTCAGTTTATTTAAAGCACGCCTCCTCTTGGGACTCCTCAGGGCTGACAGGATGTACTCTGAAACCCACCAGAGACCATAGCGCATGAATAATACATCTAATTTGTTCGGTTTAATAGCTGTGGGTTTTCAGATGAAGTTGGAGCAGTTGTTATAGGAAGTCTCGTCAATGTTGGCTTTTAAATACTAAGGTTCAAAGTTCATTCTTGACCTTGGAAACAGGTCAAGTGTTATAATTTACATATTCACTTTAGAAATAGAAAACCTGAAAAAATCCTTGCTGAGGTAAATGCAAAAAAATTATTAATACTGAAGGTTAAACTGTTAAATATTGTCCTCTTCATTCTCATTTCTATCCTCATCTCTGTGCAGCTCATTAACAGCCTTGAGATGTCTTTAATGTTCTAGGATTTGAAGCATAATGTCCATTTTTCCAGCTCAGAAAAGCAAATTCAACAATATCTTTCTTACTTTGGCTGTAAACTCCGCCCACCTGGTGTTTAAAGTTGAAACAAATGCCACGTTTCATTTCAGACTTTATCCCAGACTGAATGAAGCACAGAAACAAGTTGTTGTTTTAGACGTGTCGTGCTATGCAAACCAAATGTTTATTGCAGCAGTCATCAACATACTATAGCCACATGAAGAAGGAGAGGAGGCGAGAGCAGGGGAGGGAAGAGAAGAGAAGAAGGAAGGATGCATTTTTGTGTCTTTCTATCCATCACAGCTAAGTGTCTAACCCTAAAACCAAGTCTCAAACCTCCCACCCTAACTCAAACTTGTGGGGTCTAGCATTGTGGTTCCCACGAAGCTGTTGGATCTCACAAGTATAGTGGGTTCCCAGTTTTTGGATCCCACTAATATAGTAAAACAAGCCCACACACACACACACACACACACACACACACACACACACACACACACGCCCAGTTTGTTTGGTGTGCAGTAAAGTTGACAGATGGTTCAGATGCCTTTAGCAATCTGGAATTTCTGGAACGTTTTCAGATCCTAAAGCTCTCTGGTGGAACTATAACAGCATACCCTTCCTCCAATACACACACATACACACACACACACACACACACACACACACACACACACACACACACACACACACACACACACACACATCTCAATACACAACACATAAGATTCAATTCAATAAAGATGAATGGAACTTCGTATGTGAACCTTGTAGTATTAATACCTCAGAGTGAACAGTTCCTATGAAAACTGCAGACACTGGAGAAAGATGTTGCTGCTGATTTGTTTTATTTTATTTAAACACCACAAACCAAATTCCATTCTCCACCCCAATAATTGTATTTGGGTGGAGCAATAAATCTCAGAATCTGAAAACCTTGAAACAGAAAAACCAAAGCAATCTGAATGGATGGATTTCACTTTGTGTGTGTTTTTTTTTGTAACTGGATGAACGGATGGTAGAGTTTTAAAAATGATAGTTATACCTTCTTTGGAGAGGCGTAAGATGTGCTCTCCCAGCTCCTGGAAGCTCCAGCGTTTCAGATACACAGAGAACTGGAAGAGGGTGACTCTCTCCGGGCTGCAGACGGGCCGAAGGCTGGGCACCGTCCGACAGGCCGTCTGGAGCTGCTGCAGGAGCTGAGAAAACACTGCAGAGGATGGAGAAAAAGGTTTCAGCGTGCAGGAGCCAGCAGCTATTAATGCCTGAGATACTTATAAAACCACATTTAGCACTTTGAGTTTCTGTTTGCATTTAATTGTGTGTTGGTGAATTTTTCCTCTCGGCAGAGAATTTGAAAAACAAACAGTACATACAGTGGAGGTTATCAACCTACTGAGTTGCCTTTATTCTTTGGCCTCCATTTAGTTTGACTTTGATTTTAACAAAGACTTATTGCAAGCTAACCACCGAAATACAGCAAATATGTCCATAAATGAATATTGATGCAAACCTGTAAATATGATTTTGAAATTAATGAATTATTTACAATTGTATTATCACAACATTTCTCAGATTGTTGAATATTGATCTGCCAGCCAGTGAAAAACTTCCACCCGCCAGAAAACGAAAAGACAAAACAGATTTAATTTTCAATCATTTGTTCCAACTGAAATGTTCGGCCAACATTTAAAACTTATAAAACATTGTCAAACCCACAGTCAGTGTGGTCTATATAACTTTGTAATGAAGTGCTTTTGGACTTTGTACCTTTTTCTGACTGGCCCGGCTGTTTGGCCTTCACCTTGTGTGTGTAACGTTTCTTCAGCGTCCTGGAGAAACTGTCAGAGCGGCAACAGAAAGGAGAGCTGCTGTCGTTCACACACTCCTCCCAGAACAACAGCACATCCCTCGTTCTCTGGGCCTTCGGGAGGACTGAAGGTAAAGAGAGGAGGATGTACAATCATGCCTTGTATGTTATGTTAATGGTAGATTCTCTTAAAGACAGACAGGCAGATCTTCCACTTACTGTCTCTGGCTGAGATGTTGTCGTTCTTCTCTAACAGCAGACAGCTGACTCTATCCAGGACTTCAGCCTGCAGAGCCATTTCCTCCAGCAGCTCCCTCCTGGACGGGCTGAAGTCGGTCGTTGTTATCATCTGAGGAAACGTTATGTTCACTTGTTAGATTCTAACAAACAGTTTGAGGGTGGACACAGATTCCTAATAATCTGCTTGTGCTGCCATCTAGTGGTTCCTGCATGCTGTGACTAATCCTAGGGATTATGTACCTATAGCATAGGATGCTTCTCATTTACATTAAATATTAACAACCAGAGCAAATGCAGGAAGTAGTGAGTCTTAATGCAGAGAGGTGGACGTCTGACTTTCATGCAGAAGACTCATCTTCTCCAATGCGTAGATATTGTAGAAAGTGAGAATATTTGAAATAGTTGTATTGGATGTGAATTTAAAAAAAAAGTTAAATGTAATCCACAGTTTTTAGAATCTTCTTTGTCCTGTGATCAAAAGATGTAACTTTGGTTTAAGAGGTTGTACATGGACACAATAAAACGAGGTGTCCTTTTTAAAAAATTAATTTCCTGTATTTCTACATCTGGGAAATAATTAACACATAATTTACTGAACTTATTCAAAGGAGGACACAGGCCTGTATATATTTTGAAGAATAGGACTGATGGATCTATGGTATTAAGGAGTTCGGTCTAGACCTGCTCTATTTGAAAAGTGTCCTGAGATAACTTCTGTTATGAATTGGCGCTATACAAATAAAATTTTACTGAATTTAATTATTATTATTATTGATAGATGAATGTATCATTTGCAACTTAAATCGCAACATACAAAATGTTTTAAAGAATATGTAAAGTAACAGCGTCTATACCTTTTATATAAGAGGACGGTCAATGAAGCTATTTAAGTCTTGTGAGCAGTTATCGGTTATAGCTGAGATTAGATGGGCTTTGTTCTTCCTCCTCACAGTGGCACTCTGTTCCTGTCGGCTTCCACTTTTATGAACTGATGCTTGTTCATTCAGTGAGTGAGAAATGTGCATGTGTGGGACTCGTCTGCGTCTACAGCTGGTCCACAGATGCACAAAATGTACCATAGATCCGAGTAGGCAGGCTGTCCGTGTCCACTACTCGTCTTTGGCAGATTTTTGGAGCATATCAGAGCAAAATCAGCAGCGCAATTCACATTCTCAGCCAGAATCTGAAAGGAGGCCAGGATTGTGATGTAAACTAATCTCCAGGTTCTTGATATTTATTTCAAGGTTATTCGTGGGATATTTAAAATAATAAATGGTGTGCCCAGGGAACTGCATCTCTCTGCATCACACTACAAACTTCTTTTAGTTGCTGGGAAGATGCATCTTTCATAATTGGATCAAAGGCTTCCTCTGGTACAGAGAGATTTTTAATATCCTCCTCTAGGAAAAGGTTACAGGTTGTCTTAAAAAGAAAACATGAGCTGTTTCTGAAGGTTGGGTCACCTTTTATTAATTATTTACCTGCATATCTGAAAAACCATCAGTACTTTGAAGGCGAAAGCCCTTTTCTGAGTGGAAGACCCCCTCTCATAACCCCAAAACTATAGGACACACAACATGATACAGCTACTGATGACTCTTGTTGTTGTTATTACTTTATTTCTCTGGATTACACCTCAACCTGCGATTGGATTCGTCTAGCTCTCTGCAAAGTCTTATTTCTTTTATAATCCCCTTTTTTGTTCATTCAAAAATACAACACACAACTTCACCTGTAGCAGGATGCAGCATATATCCAGGTGAGTCTCGATAGCCTGGTCAAGACCCCAGTTCCCAGAAGTCAGAGGGGCGATGACCAGCTCTTCCTCAGAAGCTGATTGGCTGTTCTGGGAGAAGAGGCCGAGACTCCTGCGAGTGCTCTGCTGGAAAGAACTGATGCTGATGGGTAAAGACAAAAAGGAGAGATGAGTTGTTTCACATGAAGTCAGTGTTTTTTATAAATGATTCTCTTCTGTGAACTCACCCACTGTCCTTCAGTCTCAGGCTGCCCAAACAGGAAGTGTCATCATCTGCATTGAAGTCATGTGAGAGGAAGTCAAAGCTGCCCAGGACTTCCTCCACAGCCAGAGTCTCCTCTGATGATGAGCTTCTCAACAGGGAGAGGTCGTTCTGGGGGGAGAACGCGGTGTAGGGCGTAAAGATCACACACAGTATGTTTGCTTACAGTGTGTGTGTGTGTGTGTGTGTGTGTGTGTGTGTGTGTGTGTGTGTGTGTAGGTACTAACAGGTACCTTCAGTATGGTCGCCAGGTGCAGTATCTGGTGGTCCAGGGTTCTCAGCTCCTTCTCAGAGCAGCTCTGGTTCTGTAACATCTTCTCCAGCTCTGCGATCAGAGCTCCCAGCCTGATGGCCTGGGCCCTGCGCTGGGCACCGCTCACCCCCGGCCTCCCCGGGGCCGGAGCCGCGGTCGTGGGTGAGGAAGGGGTTACGGCGGGGGGCTGAGCAGCGGGTGAGGCAGGGGCAGAATATGACTGACATTCTGGAGAGTTCTGGAACAAACATGGGGGAAGTTTAAAACAAGGCAAATAAAGGAGAGATGCCAAGCTCCTCCTCCTGGATCCACTTTTATTTTACATTATGAGCTTTATGTATCAGTAATTGTATCATCAATATTCGGACATAGGTTTTTTACCTATTAAAAGGGTTAAAAGGACAGTGGGTGATGAATGTTGTACAGATTGTAAATGCAAATTGTGATTTTTAGTACATAAATCAAATCTGACTTAAACTTGACAGATAAAGTTGTTTGAAAAAGAGGTATTGAGGCAAAAACTGAAGTGAGAAACAGAGAGAAAACAAGAAGTGCTGAAGAGATAAGAAGGTCGACCAAACTAAGAAAATAGTCCCTCTAGTTGTAAACAATCTCATCATCAATTAAAATCCCAATGAAGACAGTAGATACATTTTAAATTGTGCCAGATACAAAATCTATTAAAATCTGAAGCTACACTATTATTAGATATTGTTAGACCAGAAAATGTTGGTATGTTATTGTCTTATTAGGCATTAAAAAGTGACATCAGTGAACACGGGCCACCAAAACACTTTTAAACTTGCATGTAAATAACTAAAAACTGTGAATAAAAACTGAAAGCAAGGACAGGAGGAGTAGTTAGGGCTGAGCTGTGCCGACTCTGAGAGCTGAGACTGTGTGAACTTACTGTACACACATTAAAGTGTCTCTGACATCAGTTAGACGTCTCTCTAACTCTCTCTATTCTCATTTGCACCAGGATTTCAATGCAGTGTTGAATTTAACCAAATGTGTTTGGATTCAAGTTGTTTTTTCACCTGAACACCGACAGTGTCCGGTCCCAGGGCTCCACTGTGGGTCTCAGGTTCTGGTTCTCCAGCTGTGTTCTTTCTGAGGATGTCAGGAGTGCTGGACCTGTATTACACAAATATCATCTTTATTTGTTTGCAGTATTATTATTATTAGTATTATTATTACAGCATTTAGCATGGTGATACATAGAATGAATATGGTAAACTAAGCTGAAACTCAATATAAAGCTTGGTAAAGCTGAGGAAAGCTGCAGGTTGAGCTGATAATTCTCCGTTGGTTGGTCATTTATTATGAATATAAATCGATTACAGCTGCTTTAAAGAAATACAATACGTTGAATAATTAAATACATGAAGGTGAAGCTCTAGACAAACCTGAACAGAGGACATGATGGACAAACTGTCTGCAGTCGTGTTTATCATTATTGTTATTGTTATTTTGCCATCCAATGGAAGCCATACATTTTGACAACATTTGTTTCCAGGTCAAAGTAATATAATAGTACAGTAAACACTGTTTACCCTACTAGTTCATGTCAAAATGATTGCTGTGAAAAAGCTCTATTAAAAGGAATTAAACATGATTTGCTCTTGAGTTCATGCTCACATCTGTAGAGCCAGTAGGGAACCCATTTTACTCTCCGCTGGTGTGGAGCGAGTATCTAACACACTTCCCCACTCCCTCTCCTCTTCCTCCTCCTCCTCCTCCTCCTCCTCCTCTCCATCCTTCTCGTCCATCCTCTTCCTCCTCTCCCTCTCCTCTGCAGAGACCTCCAGGGATCCTTCCTCCCCGAGGGACAGCTGAGTCTGGCTTCCTCCCAGACTGGTGCCTTGACTGTGGCTGGAGGGGTAGCTGTGCGTCCGCTTGAGACTGTGGAGCATGAAATTACAGTGAAACATAAAATACACACAAATCTCTGCTGACAGAGTTTTAACCCATTAATGTCCGCAGTGGAATTGTATAATTTCCTTTCCAGCACTTAAAGTTCAAGCTGAGCTGACACAAATCCACATATACTTTTTCTAATTGTTCGTCACTAGGGGTAGTTTTTTCCCCAGGAATTTCAGATCTCCATATTGTTTGATAATTTAGATTAAAAAATGCATGATAAATATTAGAAAATTACAAATTAAAAATGTATATTTTCTCATTTGCAGCCACTTGTCCTGACAGTTTCCCCCTCTAACAGAAACTAAATCTGTGGGGCTTTTCCTTAGTGTACTAAACACAGCTATTAGTTATTAATGGGTTCATTCAAATATAGCATTGATGTATGTTTGAGTCTTTGCTGTACTGTACTTCAGTTATCAGAGATCTCTTTATTGGACCCACAGAGATATTGATCTGTAAGATTGTAAAGAGGTCCCAAACATGGAGGTCGAGGACCTGCATGGGCTCCAGAGATTATGCCGAGCAGTCAAAAGATGATAAAAGGAATAAGAAAGAAATACACGATGATGTTAAATTATGTTAAAAATTGTTATTTGCAACTACTTTCACCTGTTCAGGCTCTAAAAATCCTTTCGAACTCCACATTAAAGCCATAATCTGTAATCTGGACATGGCTTCATTTTATGGGTAATAAGCCAAAAATCTGTTCATTAATAGATATTATCTCTGTAGTCACTGTATAGTTAGATACCTGAGGTTGTAGGGGCTTTGAGGGCTGTGGTTCGGGGCGATGGCGGTGTGTGACGGGTTGGACAGGTAGCTGAGCAGAGACACGCCTCCTCTGTTGTGTCGACTTTTAGACACCAGAGACGGGAGGGAACCCTCCTGATCTTGCAGCTCACGCACCATCGACTGCAGGAGAGGAGGGAGAAGACACACACATCAACTTCAATGTCAGACTCTGTAGACTGACTCATATGAGTCTCAGTTAAATGCTCGGTGAGGCATTCAGGGTTATCATTTGACGACATAATTTATACACACTATATTACCACTTTATTATGTACATCTCATACACAGTCTAATACAACAGCCCTGCCATAATATTATGACTGAATCCTAATATGAGCTACATAATTTGTGAAATAACAGACTACAGCAGAAAATTCATTTTTTTACATAAAAAAATAAACGGTCACAACTTTTAAAGTGTTTAATTTAAAGGCTCTTTACTCACTTTTCTTTGTTCCTCGGTTGTTAAACATTTACACACTTGTAAATGTTCTGAATATACTGTCTTTTTACTCAGTGTTTGTGCTTCAGCAATACTTTCTACTACTACTACTATGTTGTGGCTGATAAAGCTCTACTTGAAGAGTGTAAGGGGACAGATAAATGTCTTAAGGAAGCTCCAAATTAAAAGCCCCACAACAAATCTTTACATTTTTAGGGTTTAGACTTGGTTTAATCTTAATGCTCTGTAGGGTAAAGGTTGTGGTCATATATGTTTTGGTTATGACTGCTCGTGTGCGCCCTGTACACTCACTATGAAGTACTTCTCGGTGAAGGATGGGGTGCTTGGAGCCGTCCAGCTGTAAACTGAACTCTTTCTGCTGGTCACCGACTGCCTGCTGACAGACAGCGGCCTCATCTTCTCAGTGCTGTCAAATGGACTGCAGGTGCAAACACACACAAACATTTAGACTCACAGAATACACACACACACACACACACACACACACACACACACACATATAAATGTACTGAATGTTAACACGATTTCCATACATTTCATCCCTTTGATAATAAACCAGGAATATTACTGATCTTTAATGTTTGCAGCTTGTCTCAGTTTCCAGACTTTTCCAAAGTTTTTATTCTTTTTCCAGACGGTCTTTTCCTGTATCTTTCCTCACTTTGTAGAAATCCTGACAGTATTGTGTGTGCATACCACATATGTGACAAAATATGAAACTTATTCAGTCAATGACTGTAAATTTTAAACATTTTATGCTTTCATTGATCACATCAGTGTAATCTGAACGGCCCCTGAGCTCACTCAATCTATTTGCAGATTCATTTTATTTACACAGAGTAATTATAGCGGTTAAATTGGCATTTTGATCTTTTGGGAGCCTTTGACTTCACCTTCGTGGGAGGCTGTCTGCTCTTCATCAGCAACATCCTGTTTTATATTCATCGGTTGCAGACATTCACACCTGAGGTCTTTACAGTGCAGCCGCAGACTTTTATTTGTGAATTTTTTTCCGCTGACATTTTCTAAAGTCAGCCAGCAAATTTCCTTCTTCTATCGCTGCCCACAGTTATATTTATCTATTTTTCCATATAGGTATAACAGTTTATACGTAGCAGAAACACTGATGGAAATCACTGAAATGTGATTCATTTAGAGGCTCAACAGAGAATTGTGTGTGTGTGTGTGTGTGTGTGTGTGTGTGTGTGTGTGTGTGTGTGTGTGTGTGTGTGCGTGTACGGCCACATGAGTCTTTAGTCTTGTGAGTGTGTGAGTTTGTCAGCCTTGTGCGTGTCCGGGGAAAATCCATGAAACGTCCTCCACCTGGCGCCTCTAAAACCCTGAAATGTGATCTGTCATGGTGCAAGGGCACAGTGTGTGTGTGTGTGTGTGTGTGTGTGTGTGTGTGTGTGTGTGTGAGCGATGTACACTCTGTATTCAATGAGCCGCTCAGCGACAGCTGGCTCAGGTTAGAGGTACGGAGGAGACAGAGAATGAAGAAAACAACAACAACAACAGATTCTGTTGGACAGCTGGATGTGACTGTATAACAATCTAACGCATCATTTGTTGTTGTTTATGTCATGTTGCATGTCGTTTGGCCTTGTTTTACTGCTGCGAACGTATGGTTAAAATACAGGAAGGAAGCTGTTTGAGATTTCAGAAAAGAATGAAATCACGGAAAAAGCAAAACGAGTAAAAAAGGTTGTCTGTCTGTCCTCCAACAGTAATGGTTCTCTCTGTCAACTCTTCAGTCTCCCTTTGTCTTATGAGAGGAAGATATCTGATGAGTTTGTGCACCAGCTGCACTTGTCATTCATATGAATCATCACTCGATATCTCCCCAGGACGGAGCGAGGGGCCACGCTCCTGAGGTCAAGACAAAAGTTCAGAGAAAAACGTGCTCATATACTACAAATTGAATTTCCTTGCCTGGCTGTCCACACCTATTCCCCCTTCATATCATCCAATTATTCTACTTTCCTTTTTGGGAATGTCTCGGATTTCACTCCTCACCACTCATCACCACCACTACAAATCCTGGGAAATGCTGCTGAGCTTTACATCACTGCGTTGCCGCCTGTCTGTTATTTTTTATATCAGGACAAGTACAGAGGACATTCCTGTGTGTGTGTGTGTGTGTGTGTGTGTGTGTGTGTGTGTGTGTCCGTACTTCCAGGTGACTTCCAGCTGCAGTTTGATGGTTCCCAGCTCCGTGATGTCCACCAACATCAGCTGCGGCTTCGCCACAAAGAAGTCTGCGCTCGCACACGTCACCATGCCGACCAGCAGCCAACCCAAACCCTTCGCCTCCGTCACCTGAAGGAAGAGATTTTAATTGGTGAGAGACCATCGACATTTATAAAGACGGACGACACGGCAGCTCTCCTCTGGTGTGTGTGCATGTTGGAAACCTTGATCTCGAAGTTGTGGTGTATGTGCGGGAGGAAGACCATCTCCTCTTCATCCCAGGACTGTGTGTCGTCCGATTCGATTCTCCCTCTGATCCTCCATCGCTGGCGTCCCAACCGCACCACCACCTAGTCACGTGACATTATTAAGACATGACATCACAAACCACCATAACTCAACTTCGCTGTGTGAAAATGACTCCTGTTAGACCCTGGTCCTTTAAGTTTAAAGGGTCAGTTCATCCAATCTGCTCAAAAACACATTTTCCTGATTTAAAATGTATTTATTGACAGGATACATGTCGATGAGACTTATTAAGTAGTACAGTGGAGGTGGAGGGAGTTACACATATAGGACTGACAACTGTTCTATTTCTCTTTCCAAAAACTGATTTTTTTGCAGATTTTCTCTAGTTTTCTGATAGTCTTCCGACTTAATAGTGGAAAAATGTGTCTCTGTCTCTATTCATGCACAGATTCCATGTTGATGCATCTTCTCATTTTCTGATATCAATCTTTAAATGGAGAAACTCACCTCGTATTGGTCTCCGGGGCAGAGTCGAGCGAAGCCGATCAGACCTGCAAGTAGAAACACATGTTCAATAGTTGGAAGATAGCTTGTCACTGATAACCTTTAAACTGCTCTGGGACTCTCTGTGTATGTGTGTGTACCTTTCATTTTGATTTGTAGCTCTCCGAGGAGGATTTCTAGCTCTCCTTCCATAACTGACATGTCCTGCAGAGAGGAGAAATTGGGTAAGAGTGGAATTTTAGAAAAAGTAAATAAATCTCCAGCGGGGTGCCTTTGGCGGGTCTTATTTTTGTTAACAGATAACTTTTGCTGTAACACTTTTCACATATTGTCTATCCAAAGTGAGGTCAAACATTGGGTCATCCACAGAACATTGACATTGGATTCACAGTTCTGTTTTAGTGCAGCAGATATTTGGTAACAAATTTCTTTGGCTTTTTACCACCTCACTGGCTTCTTGTGAGGGGAAAGAGACACCTTCTAATACTTTCCCTCCATTAAAACTGAGCATACTCAAACCCAAATGACAGATAGAGGAAACTATTCATGTAATGTGTCATCTGTAAACATACGTTTAGTTTCCACGAACATAGTGTTGATGCATTTACCACCTGCTTGACTCTATTAGAATATGAATGGGCATATTTAGGTGTTACAACCACTTCAAGACTCATAAATTGGCCACTTGGTTCTCAGTTTTGGCCTTAAACATGAGTTTAGTCTCTATTATGGTAATGTTATATATGTGCAGCCTCTTCCTTAAAGCCTCTTCACTCTGTATCACAGTACACTGCTTTATCACAGGTGATAAGTTGGTTCTAAAATATATAAAATCTTTAGCCAACTGGAGAAAGCTGCAGTTTAAACTATGTATCTATAAAGCTCAACTGCCAGATTATCTCTTTCTGATCACATCTACTTATAATGTCAAGTCACATTTGAACTCTACACAAAAAGAACTTGGAAAAAGAACTTTAAATACTGAGCTCCTCAGAAATGGCAAGAGTTACAAAGAGAGTCTGAATGCAGCTTTTAATTCTTTCTGTGTAACAACCGTTCTGTGCATGCAAATTGTGTGTTTGTTGTGGTTTTCTGTGTTTTTGTCCTCGCTCACACTGTATATAAAGTTCTCATGTGCTCCCTTGAAAAGGAGATTTGATGTCAGTGAGATGATTTGTTTAAATAAAGGACAAACAGAGGTTCATTCATTCTCTGGACAGGTTGCAGACTCACTGCTGTTTGGGTTTTTTGGAGGATTTCTTAGCAGTGGACTAAACAGCCATTTTTATTTTCTATGATTTTACAGTACAAATTGTGCATTGTGCAGGTTGACAGGAATGCTAACTTTGTTATTGTAATCTATTTTAGAACCACATACAATGGGACAAGAGAATAAAATAATAAAATGCTGGTCTCCCGGGGTAAAAAACCTTTCAAATTCTCATTATAAGAAACTTTTAAGAACCCAAGACAAACATTATTCTTATGAAATCAGAGTCTTCATATTTATGCAAAAGACTTATCTACTGTTGACAGGTCATTTGATGCTGAAGTAAAGAAAATAATTATTCTACCAAAACAAATAAAATGTATCTTAGTAACAGAGTCCCGACAGAGAACTTGGGTTTAGTACAAAGAGCCGCAGATGAAGCAGCATGTGGAGCAGTCTGGTGCCCCCCGTGTGGGCCGATGTTTCAGGAGGTCACAGCTGTTGGTCACACACTGCCGACCAACCCCAACTCGCTAGAGGCCAAAACTGGGAACCAAGTGGGCAATTTATGGCTCTTGAAGAGGTTGTAACACCTTAATATGCCCCTGTCTGAATACGGAGTCACGCTACATTCAAACAGAGGTGGTAAAAACAGCAGGTTCATTAAACCTAACAAATGTTTCAGTATCATTCAGAAGAGTGTTTGATGTTTGACTCCCTCTAGACTTTACACCCTTTTAAAAAAGAGGGAAATAGTAAATACGTGTCATCACAACATCTTAAATCTCTGCGTTTACATGCAAGAAATCAGGTTTGTGGTTACAGCAGGGATCAGAGTATTTGTTCACAATGCAGTAACCTGCTCACTTTCAAACCTGTGCTGACCTGCAGCTGCTCAGGACGGATGGCTCAGTGAGGAGAACAGGCTCTGTAATGCAAAGATTTTACTTACTTAGAGTCTTTTTTACAAATAACTATTATGGAAGCGACTTATTTAGACGTCCAGAAACTACTCAATCTCAGATCATACAACAAAACTGCAGCCAACAATCCTCATGTCCAGACTGAAGGAGGAAACTCTGGAGCAGCATTCGAGTTGAAATCCCTCGCGCTATCACGTAACAGTAATTGTAATCTACACAGAAATGTATTTTTGGATGCGTTTCTGTCATTTTAAAGTTTTGTGTGGTTAGTTTGAAAAATGCCACACAAATAAAAGGTTATTACGAGCACTATTTTTAAAAATTAAAGTTTCAGTTTTAGTCAGACTTTGAATTGAAGATCCAACTCCAACGGTTTACTTTCATCCCACCACACTGCTGCCACAGCAGCAATTACACATGTGATTCTCTGTTAGAAACCACATACACGTGTATGCAGCCAAGAAATGTGTTTTCCCTTAGCAGAACTGTAGCAGCGCTAACCAGGTTTCTCCAGTGTCAGACCCTGAATCTGACGTTTAAGAGATCAGCTTACTGCAGAAAACAGGGACCTGCTTACTCAACTGCATGTAAACACGGATTAAATCTAGATAATGTAACAAATGTGATACATGAAATATGATTTTTCTATAAACCAGTTTTCTTACGGCCTGGCAAGAGATCTCACCATTCTTGTAAATGTTTATACTTTACTCTGCCATACAGACTAAATACATCTTCACTCTGATTTATAACTTCAGCAAACGCCTGCAGGTTTCTTGAGCATCACCTTGGTTGAACCACAAAAACTTTATGTGAGGTAGCTGAGAGGATCTTTCCTATAGTTTCAATCCTCTTGTGGCATCTACTCACTGGGAGGAGACTCAGTCTGTATACATACAGTGTCAGTGTGTGTGGTCGTACAGACATACACAGATGCCAGTGTTACAGACAGAGGTGCTGACCTCTTCGCTTTGAATGAACATGAGACAAAGTGAGTTCTGTGCATGTTTCTTAATTTATGTGTGTGTGAGAGCGATAAAGACCAGAGAGGAGAATTAAAACCTATTTGAGTAGAAAGAAACTGTATATTTATTAAACTTAAGGAGCTACTTGTAACTTGAGTATTTCCATTTTCTACTTTCTACTTCGACTCCACAACATTTCAGAGGGAAATACTTTTACCAGCTGTAACATTAAAGTAATAAACACACTAATGCATCAATAATAATATAACCTAATTACTTACTCTGAAAAGGACCATTCTGCATAATGACTAGAGCACTTTTACTTTAATTTAGTTGTTAATACTTTTGTACTTTTACTTAAAGAACCAGATTTAGTGGCACCTAGCAGTGTAGTTGCTAATTGCAGCGCCCTCACCTCACCCTCCCCTTTCAAGCTGTAAGAGAAGCTCCAGCGAAAGGCCCGATATTCTATTCTCATTCTCATTCTAAGGGTTTTATTTTCAGGTGATTATACATGGATGAAAACATACCAGTGAATGTGTTTGTATGGTAACACCTATTCTGAACAAATACCCCCCATATTATAATAAAAATAAACTAAAACTAAACATTTTCAAACAATAAAAACTAAACCAAAATGAGCAAATACACTCCAGAAACTAAACTAAAATAAAATAAAAAACTAATGAAAAATACAAAAGTATAATAACTCTGGAGTTAGATGTTTTAGAGAAAGAGAGAATCATATTCTGCACCAACATGTGACAGACAGATACAGACAGACAGATACAGACAGACAGATACAGACAAACAGACAGACAGATACAGGCAGACAGACAGATACAGACAAACAGACAGACAGATACAGGCAGACAGAAAGAGGGTATGAATGAGCCTTCAGTTGTCAGTTAATGATCCTCAGCCTGCGGTTACAAACAGGAAAATCACTGTGGGACCATCACTCACACGCCAGATTATTTCGCTTGGCGGTGCTGTGACCGTTCCTGGCGACAGCTGTGTGGACATGATGGATACGTGGCAGACACTTCTGGCCTGAGTACGTTTCAATTACAGTCCTCTCACCGACTCCCTCTGCGATCAGTCAGAAACCTTCTCAATTTCCTTCGGCGGTGATGAAATTGTTCAATTATGTAGCATCACTGAAGTGTCAGGAGCGTTTATAAAGCATACGGACCATCATGTGTTTATTTTCTGATTCTTTTCAGCTTCTATTGTAGATAGATGTCTGATTCTTACACAAACACTACAGTCTTTTATGTGCGATCATCAGAAACAGTTTTTAATCCATTGTTGACAGTTATTATTTGTCTGTTTTTTTGGGGGCTGCAGCTCAGTTTACGCTGTATTCTCATGATGCGTCAATGGTATTATGTTTAGTTTTTATCTGCCAATCAGCTTTTTCCCCAATAATCTGAATGTGGAGGACTTTTAATGGATGAAATGTGTAAAATGTTTGTTAGCAATTATGTCTAAACAGTTTCAGGTTAACAGTAAAGATTATAATTGCCTGCATTTTTATTCAGTCCATTATTATTTTGGGTTTGTGAGCTTGTACTATATTTGGATATTTATATTTAATGCTACTTTATACTTCTACTTAACTACAATTCAGAGGAAAAAACCTCTTTGCTTTTCCTCTTTTCTCCCATGCATCAATATTAAGACTACTTCTACTGCTGAGACCTTAAAAAGGTCCAGTGTTTAACATTTAGGATGATCTATTGGCAGAAATATAATATAATATTCATAGGTATGTTTTCATTAGTGTATAATCCCCTGAATATAAGAATTGCTGTGTTTTTGTTACCTTAGAAGTAGCCCAGAACTAACAAACCAAACACTGGCTGTAAATGGGACCGTTCGTGTTGCTTTTCTGTTTGTTTGCTTTGAAGGGGAAGGTGAAGCGAGGGATCTGCCACCATACCACTGTATGCCACTAAACCTTACAGCCTGGTCCTTTAATGAAAGTGGAATAAGCCTCAACAGTGGTTAAAACCTCTGGAAGAAAAGAAAAAAAAGACCTGAAGAAGCTGTTAATGACTCCTGCATGTCGTCTGTTACACAGATGCTACTTGAAAAAGACCACTGAGGTTATTTCTGACACCAGTAAAATATGTCTTTACAGACTGTTATATAACGTGTAACAACTTTGTATTGAATTGTAAGTAGCCTACAAGCACTATAATTGGATTAAAACATTCGAGATCCTTAACCTGTGCTTGAGGATGCTGGTTTGGTTTTGGGGAAGGACCAGAGACAGGACGTCGAACACTGGCTTTTGGGATTCATACAGTCGCTGTGTGACCTCTGTCTGCTGCACACATGGTCAGATCACGGCTCAGCAGTGATTAATGTGTTACACCTCAGATACATTTTACAGACTGCAGCAGAAACACGTTGCAGATGAAATAAAATATGTTACATACGAGTTAATTTGACAAGAATCTGGTTCAAATATAAAACACATTTTAAATTCTATTCTAAGTTATCATGCTATCTTATCATGTTCAGTTGTATTATAGTATAACAAGACTACAGTGAGGTGGTCAGGCTTTAATTTGCAGTTAATGTGGACAGCACCTATAAGATGTGTGGTTGGAGGCTGTGTCTGTGTTACAGCCGCCCCTCTGTCTCTGTCTCTGCCACTTCCCCCAGGCCCACCACGCATTTCTGAGGAACCTTCCTGGTTGTGTATATATCACCAGCTCACCAGCACGTCATGTTGTGCATTTGAGTTCCAGCCATTTTCTACCTGATGTCTGCTTTATGTGTTTATAACCTGCCTGCCTGGCCCCTCTGGATTTGTTTGCTTGTTTGGCTCTCCTCCTCATGTCTGACTGCAAGCCTGTTAATCTGAACATCCACTTATTAAAGTCCTTTTTATTTGACCTGTTCTGCCTCAGTGTCTACATTTGGGTCCTAAATCCCACTCGTACACACATCCTTAACAATAACAGCAGGACAACAAGATGCAAGTGGTTTGTTTACTTATTAAATAATGTTACACGTTTTGGTTCAGAGCTGAACTCTATATTTTTGTCTTCACTATACGAATAGATCAAGAGACAAAGAGACATTGGAAGAGAGTTGGAGAGAAATAAGAAACTGAAACTAAAAAGAAACTGAAGCTTTACTTTATCTGGCCCCTATTTCACTTATTAAAATTAAAAGCAGTCGATGATAGACTCTGCAAAAATGTCATTTCATCCATCACGCTGGTCAAAACAGTGGCAAACATAAAGCATCAGCAAAAACTCTAAAGTGTTAACATGTTATCCTGAATCTTGACTCGACTTCAGAAATCAGAAAAACAACATTTCTGTCCTGATAACATCAAAGTTCACTTCAAATGTGCTCTTCAGGAAAGAAAACTGAAGTAGTAAAATCACCTGCAGGCTGTGTCTGTGGTTGCGATTGAGCTCCAGCAGACTCTCTCTGGAGGCTCTGGTGGACGGGGACAGTGAGAAGGCTCTCTTCATGTTGACCGCTCCCTGACACAACCTCCACTGGATACAATACGTCTCATAGAGCTCCTCCACCTGCAGAGACAAGAGACAGACTCAGAGACACAGCGGCCAGGAGCGTGTGTTCAGCAACACAATCAACAAAAAAACCAACATTGTTCATTCTTTCAAATGTAGCTCGTTTGTATCTGCTTCACTTAAGATTGTTAGCCTGAAAAGAGTTGGCTGAACTTTGCATGGACTGTGGTTGCTTAATGAAACAACTCAAATTTCTGTGTTTTGTTCGTTGTTTTCTTTCTCAACTGATATTGCTGCATAGCACATTAAACATAGACAAAAGGTTGGTTGAATCTATTAAAAACTACTAAAACTTTTGAAAACCACAGAGACAGATTTCCTCAAAATGTCTGAAGAACAGTCGTATCCATTACTTCATCACATCACCACCAAGATCTTTTACCTTGCTGATTTGAAATTCTAATCTTCGTATGTATCTCTCCAACGCTCTTATCTCCTGTGAAGGAAAACGTACGATAAATATGATTTTTTTGAATTTATATTTTCAATGTTTATATGATAATTCACTCAAAATAAGATTTGGTTCGACTGCAGTTGGGTAAAATAATGTGATTCTGGTGCAAAGATTACCTTCTCCAGATCATACAGAAAGGCCTGGAAGAGAGAAAATACATCATCATCATCACCTGAAAATCAAATCAAACCACCCCCACTCACTCACTCACTCACTCACACAGACACAGGTTCAGTTTCCTCACCAGTCTGGAGTTTCTCTTGGTTTCTCTCTGCTGTGAAGACAGGAAGTCCATCTCTGCCTGGTGACCCTCCAGAAACTCCCTGCAGACGGACACATCAGCAACATGTGTGATTCACACTGAAACTTCACAACGTTTGAAGCAGAGCTGCAGATGGTCTAATGCTGTATTTTACTTCAAATAAATTACCACGTGTAGCAGAAAATAACAAGTACATTCCCTCAGTTACTGTACTTACATACAGTAGTATGCTATAGTTATACATTTTGTACTTTATGTGATTTTCTGCTACTTTTCTCTCTGAGTATTAATCTGAGTACCTCTCCCACAACTGCCTCTTACTCAATATACATAATGTAACTCTCCATCACTTCAGCAGTAGGGTGCAGAGTTAAGTTCACGAGTAGTAAACATACTTCAGTCCTTTGCGTAGCGCCTGGAAGACCCTGTCGACCTCATCCGGCTGCAGAGACCAAATTGCTCCTCCCCCTCTGCTGGGAGACAGGTGCGTCCTGGGAGATTTACCTCCTGTCATGGCTTTGGTGCGGAGCGAGTTACGAGCAGAGGATGGCCTGAAAACAGGAATATAAATAAAGACACAGATAGTTATTCACATATATTATCCAACACATTTTTACCAAAGCATTCATGTGTTCTTAGACTGACAGCTTTTGGACCTGAACTCAAAGGACAGTGAGAACATTTCGCTCCCAACCGTGCATTAAGACATGATGATGTATGATGATATGCTGTTGGATGTCAATCAAGTTCTCCAAATTAAACAAAGATGAGTTATTTGTGTCCTCCAGAGCGACATAAAGAAGTTACTTCCGATCTGACACCACTATCGGCAGGAAGACACAACTTATCTGTGCCTGAAAACTGCTGTGGTCAAGGTTTGGTGAGGTTTAGGCACAAACAGGACCTGGTTAGGGGAAAATAAACCGCTGACTGTCAGTAGGGAACAGGAAGTGAACTGCGGCCTCCTGAGGCGGACGTCTTGTTGACCCATCCACCCACCCCGACCTCTCTCTTACGCAGACTTTGTGGCTCTATAATAACATCACTTCCTCTTTGCTCCTGACAGACAAGAGTCAGAATTCCTTCGGCCGCCAGAGGGGTTTGTTTTGGCCGTTGGCTGAAATGACGAATGCTGTCATTTTTCTCTTTTGTTTTCACAGTTTTATTACAATAATTTCATGGTTCCACAAAGTATTCAGTATGTTTACATATTTTTCAAATGATTTTTTTTTGTAATCTAAACACCCGAGGCTACAAACAGAGTGAAAGAAAACCAGTCCTCAGCTCCAAATTCATCTTATTATGTACACTTACACATCTTGTATTTATATGTATAAGCTGATATTCATACGTCCATGCTGGTATTTCATAAGACAGAAGATTAAATAAGTACATTTAACAACAACTTAGGTTTATTTCTATACTACAAAATTAAACCAGTTGCTTCTAGGAAGTTAGGACTTTATAGCCATAACCTTTTAAGACTTAATTAGGACATTTTATATAGACAGGGCTATATAAAGTGTATTAACATTAACATGAGGCTGATAACTATCCCACTTAATGAGGTCAGCAATATTGTCCAATGCATCTCTGAGCTTTTGAATAAATCAACACAACAAGAATCCACTCTTTTTGGGATCAGAAACCTGTTTATTGGTAAATAAATGAGATAATGCAAATGAGTGATGCTGAAAATTTGAGATTCTAGAAACAAGACACTAAGCAGACAGTTTGTGTGGAGACAGCCACACACGGAGCGTTAGTGTCCACACATCGGTGTTTTTGTCGACCATATTTCTCACCGAATAAAGCTTCACTCAGATTTAGCAGATGTCCTCTGTAATTATGGACCCGGCTATAAAAGTGTTTGTCATGGTGTGTGATATTTGTCGTCCCTGTCAGTGTGTGGGGTTTGTTTATGTCATATTTACGGCCGGGTCGCGTCATGATCAAAGGTCCAAAGTGGAGAACCATGGGAGACCACACATATGCTGAGATGCTCAGGAATGAACAGAGAGAGAGAGAGAGAGAGAGAGAGAGAGAGAGAGAGAGAGAGAGAGAGAGAGAGAGATACTGTGTTAAAGAGATGGTGTGTTTTTAAGTGTTTGTTTAAGATGGAAAAATCACAGGAAGTGCATTCCAGCTCTTAACATGACATGTTGTTCTCTCTCTCTCTCTCTCGTGGGACTGACGATTCTGTCTTTCTTCATTCAGAAATAACATCTTGCCGTCTGTGGTGCGTTCACTGTCTGCCCATCAATGAGGAACAGGCTCGTCTGAGGGTGAAGGGATTTCCCTCCACATGACATAAGACAGTTTAGCTTCAAGTGCTTTCAATCTTAAAGCACAATAACGGATTTTTTTCCCGTCTTTGATTGTTCTGCAGTATGAAAAAAATACTTTGACGCCTTACAAACCGACAGCAGCTGGCAATGTAAAGGTCTGAACTGAATTAAAATAAAGACGCAACTAAATAAAGACGGTAATATCAAACTATTTGAATATCAAGAAAACAAACAGGAACCCACATTAACCTTCCTGCTAAAGTCTCCTTCTTAGCAAACTTACAATCATGAACACAGACTGGTTCTGCACATTGATGTTTGATGAAAGCACAACCAGACCAACATTCAGTGGGGAGAAACTGCTACCATCACTTTTAAAGCTCCTAACTTAGCTAATTAGCTACGCAGCTGTAGCACATTAAACAGTATGTTAATGTTCCTGAAAATGTGTCTCGGCCTGTTTTAGATGCTGGTGCGGTCCTTACACTTTAATACCACTAACAGCAACATATCTGCCTTTGGCTTGTGAGCTACAGCACTTAGCTGTTTATTACCAGAGCTCATCCTCAGAAAGAAAGAAGTCTGAAGTTTCCCCAAAGACATTTTTTCTTCCTTGTATAAATAAAAACGACTACATTGTAAAACTGTATTGGTGCCTGCGCATATAGCCTCACATGTAGAGGTGTCCACCGTTTGTAAAACCATAGTTATCTTCTGGGTTACCATATTATCCTAAAATTAAAGTCATGTAAGTGCTGTCTGGTATAAAACTGTATAATAACCAGTTAACGGAGGTTTTTGATGTCCTGAGACAACAAAGACCTAATTTGTTCCTACTTGTTATTCCTTCAAGTAATTTAAGGAAACTAAGTTAGTCGTTATTACTTCTCATTGGCTGTCACTCACCGTCGTCGTCCAGTCAGAGAACTGAACCCGGTGAAGGAGCGGCTCCTGTGGACCAAACCTCCATCCGAGGGGGAGTCGAATCGCAGCTTCACCGACATCCTGCAGAGAGAGAGAGAGAGAGAGAGAGAGCTTTTAATCATCAAACTTATGAAATATAGAAAAATATATTCAGTCCCAATTAACTTTGCCCACACACACTCCCAAACATCAGCCCAGATGTGCTGTAAAACTTCCATGACTTCAACGAGACATTCAACCAAACCTACTGACTCTTGCTCTAAGTCAGGTATTAGCTAGGTAGTATATCTTTTCACCATCTTCAAAATGTGGTTGTCTTTCCAACATAGATTAGCTTAGCATACAGCCTATCTAAGTACTGGAAAGGGGGAAGTTGACCGAGGTTTGCTCAGCTGTTATTGGACCACAGAGCAAAAAGGGGCGGGACTTAGGAAGGGTCACTTATGCCACTCATAACTTTCTTGTACCCAAACATGAACCAGTTTTGAACGCCTGCCTCGATACTTCCAAAAGGCCTTGTTATTCCAATATTAATAAGCATCTGCAAACAGGCATTTTCAGACAAGCTATTTATTCTGCTCTTTATTTATTTTGTATGTCAGAAGCCAAGAGTACAGTTTTAATTAACAGGTCACCTGCATTGCTGTTTTATATTTTATAATTTATTTCTGTTGTTGTCAGCTTTGTTGTCCACTTCTTCCCAACATACACACACACACTCACAAGACACAAGACCACCCTTACGCTCAGAAAATCCAAAACAGGAAGCAGCAAAATCTCTGGGACACATTAACAAAAAGGAGGAACATCCTGAAGCAGACACACAAACATGTGCACATGCTGGTGTACAGATGGAGGACAGTTATATATTTGCATGTAAGTTTGGAGGATGTGCAGCTCAGATGGCAGAGCGTCGGATTTTAAGCCATGCTAGTTGCAGGTCACTTGGATGGAAAATGTAGGTCGACCCGTCGGTGCACCACTGTGACCCAGACTGAAATAATTCACCAGCTACTGGATCGGCTGACATGAAATTTAAGCGCCATAGCTTTTGTAAGTGCTTGACTTTCATCTAGCACAAAACAGCAGGTCAGAAAGTTGTAGTTTCCAGTCAAATAGCTCCACATCTACCACATAGGTTGGTACAAAAGTCTTTAAAAAGTCAGTCCACTGAGTTCTCCTCCTGTGCCACCATCAGGTTCACATTTATAACTCTTGGTGACCCCCTGACTTTTCTACATTTTCCTTACCTACCACTTCCTTTTAAGCCCGTCAGTGTCGTTCACCTCCGAGATAATACAGACTCCTCTCTGTCTTTGTCTTCTAAGGCCTTGAATTGCTAATGTGCATGTGTTCAATTAATTGTTCTTTTTTTTTTTGACAAACTGCCTTAAACAGCTGCTTAAATTTAAAACAAGAACAACCCAATGACCTTTTTGTTCAGTGTGATGGATAATTACAACAAGGGACAAATACAAGTAAAGAAAGTCTCCGTAGTTGTGGTTGATTGTGCTATATACATGAAATAAGCTTCAGATAAAACAGGATTATTCTATAAGAAAGTGACTTTTGAAATGTTTTATTTATGAAGGTGAAGAGAAAACAAAGTGTGGCTTATAGTAAAAAGGTCAATCAGTGATGAAGAACAGCTGATATTTACTGTAAATGAATCCCATTCACAGGTACACACACACACACAGAAAAATACTGTGTGCAGGCAAGTATATGATAATGATGTGCTCACACACACGCAGTCTGGACACCATCTGCTGAGTCTTTCATGTGGTTCCTATGATTGCTTGAGTTTGGTTGAAGCTAAAAACAACAACATTGCTATTCTTTTAGTCTTCATGGTCATCAGCTGGTGTCTTCCAAATCAGTTCAGAATGAGTCGCAGTTAAAAGGTTTTGTATCGTAGCTGAGGAATCCTGTGTATATGGGAAAGATTAATGTCTGTCCGAGCTTCCTCATTCAGCAGCTTATTGTATGTTTACGATCATCTTTCTCCTCTAAATGTTAAAATCTGAGCTGCAGTCTTGCTCGAATAAGCTGAATCAAGGTCATCTGCTCTCAGTTTGGCTTCCTCCACGACCAGGATTTGAACTAGAGCAGAAAAATGCTGCCAGCGTAAGTAGTTCAGGAGTAACCCAGTTTCGGAGCCCTGACCCAGAATGTAATATACACTCTGGTCCTGATGCCAAGATCAACAGAGTCACCAAGCAACCACACATAACACACACACACACACACACACACACACACACAGGGATGGAGAAACCAGGTCTGATCATTACGAACCAAAGTTAGCCCAGTAAGCACTTATACTACACACACACACACACACACACACACACACACACACACACACACACACACACCTGACATCTGGTTGTGTGCTCTACCGGTGGAGGAAGTGAAAAGTGCCTTTTGTTGTTGTTTTTACGAGGATAATCATTATTTATATGTTGTCATTTGAAGTTGAAATATGGTTGAAAATATTTCAGAACTTTATTTTATGTGAGGAATCTTCGTCCAGTGACGAGTGGAGCCACGTTTCCCTCTCTTTGATTCACTCTGCCAATGCACCTGTGTTTCTTCTCAATGGTTGGTGCAGCTCTCTGTCATGTCCTAGCATCATTTGTCTCCTTCAGCCACTCAGTCTGACTTTATAGTGCCACCATGAGGTTGACAGTTTTAATTAGTGATGAAGTTCTCTCAACAACTACTGGCCATTACATTCATGTCTTTTTCAGGATGAATTTGATTAAGTTTGGTCATCCTCTGACTTTTCATCTAGCGCCACCATCAAAAATGTAATTGTGTATTATTTTGGTTTATGACCAAATTCTAAAGATATAATATTTAACATTTGCACATTAAAATGTCTTTAAACTCCAGTTCAACCCTGAGAAATCTGTCACTGCATTCAGGTAACGCTGTGTTTCACCGGCTGCCATATCCCCTTTGTGCCTGCGTCAGCGTTGTGGTTGTCTGCCAGAAGCTGTCATACGTTGACTTTTTATCCAGTTTGAAGCCACGTTTTTATTTTAGATTTTAGTCATCGGACGTCTGGATCTTAAGTTATCAGAGAAACAAGCTGAGCTAACGTTAGCAGCAGCTCGGCTGAACAGCGTCAGATATTTTAAAGGTGAAACTGCTTTCTTTGGTGTTTTACTGGTTTTAATCCCAGGAGGAGATCTGTGTGTATAATTCAACTCCCAGTAGGAACCTGACTGCAAGTGCAATAAAACCATATTTTTAAGCATTGGCCATAGACTCTTGGTCTTATTGTCATCCTGCTGACAGGTGTGTTGTGTTTTTGTGAAGCACCCCCAATGTAACCATTGTTACAGTATACAGATACTTGTTTACAATTACTGTGTCTGTATGTAAACTGGTATTAATTAATCTAGAAGATTAAAATCTGGCAACTGTGTATTTCTTACTATAACCTTCCTGCTCTAGATACTGAGTATGTACAAGTGCCCAACTCGGAGGAATCAGAATAATCAGAACAACATAGTTCAGTCCTGGCTGAATGCCACTTTAACCAGCTGTAATTCACTATGTGAAGAATGTTATACAGCTCTGACTATCAAACAAGCATAAAGTCTATTTCTGCTGTCACAGACTACATCCATCTCCACCTGTCTGCTCAGTTACAGTCTCTGGTTGTTCACGCAACATTTTTCATCACATCAGCTCACAAAATCAGCTGTAAGAAGCTTCAAAATGCAGCTGCTTTCAGTCAGTCACATCATACAGTTGTCTTTGTTTTACTCTCATCGCCAGAGAACAACGTCGACACAGTGGCGGCTGACAAAACCCTGAAAGTTCGAGCCTGCAGAGAGAAACTGCTCTTCAATTCCAAATGTCTGAGTTAGATGACTCCTCTCTTTGCACCAAAAGAATGAAGCATCAACTTTTTCTGTAAACTTTGTGGATTTCCTCTGAAGCATTGAATCACCACCACATGTGGCTGTGAAGCAGAGAAGGAAGAGGAGGAGGAGGAGGAGTTATTGTTGGTGGGAAAGGAAAAGATGAAACCAGTGGTGGAAAGTAACTAACTCAAGTAATGTACTTTATTCTACTTAATACTTCTACTCCATTACATTTATCTGACGGCCTTATAGATTTCACAAACAAAATGTTACAGATTTATAAAATATGACGCTATGCTACAGATTGAACTATCCAACTGTTTATAATGTAGTTAAAAACATTAAAATGTTTCCTTTGTGTTAAAGCATCATTCATAATATTCTAAAAATATGATAATATAATAAGATAACTCTCTGCCCAACAAGTACTTTTACATTCAACAGACAAGAACATGAACAATAGATTAGATGTTGTGGAAAAAAGAAAAATAAGAGAAATTACAAGAAAGAGCAATAATTATAACCAATAACATTTACGGTATAATACATGAGAAAGGTCAATCCTGAACATGAAAACAAAGTGTTAAAATCCTGACCCTCCCTCTACTCAACTGTAAATGAGCTGTTTAAAGAAAGTCTGGGTCTCATACATGCACAGCTGTTGGGTGTTGTGACTCCCTGTTTAAGGAAAAAGACCTCCACTGTTTATACTGAGAAAGAGACGGCAGGAAAAAGAGAAATAGAGCAGAAACAAACAGAGAAGTTACTTTTGACTGTAGGAATATGTCAATGACAGTCATACCTAGTGACACAAACATTAGCCTTTCCCTTTATATATATATATATATATTTATATTTATTGTCACACTGTAAATAGATGTAATTACTGTATTGTGTCTCAAGTATAGAAGACAAGTGCCAGAAATTGCACGTCAGACTGTAATATATGGATTGCCATGACTTATTCTCTAGCGCCATCGTCAGATCATTAGTTTTAGATCAAATACCTGATGACTTTCGAGGCGGCCTCAGCTGTACTTTGAAGGTAAGCATGCAAACACTCTGAACTATGGTTGTGAACGTGGTGAACGGCTTAAAATCTCTCTGTAAGCATGTTAGCGTTTAACTAAAATTCTCATGTTTAAGAAAAGGTTTCTGGGGTTTAACCAGGTCAAAACTCGATACGAATGGGATTTTTTT